CATAGGTAGTGATTTAAGGAACACATATGTCTTTGTGGGTGAGTCAGCCACATTCACCTGGGAGCTGTCAACCCCAGACGTGAAGAATCTCCTCCTCACAGCATCTCTGTGAAGGAAATTTCTGAGCAGGATGGGATAGTGCACGCTCTGAAGGACTCCTAAAGAACGTGGTGTTCCATGACTTGGGCACTGTCACCTTTAGAGCTGGATTCCTTTTACCTTCAGCCAAATTATTAGTGAAAGGTATTTTGTTGTTAGCAAGGAACAAGTGGCCRCCTCCACAGCTGCTGAGTGTGCCAGTGCTTCTGCATTCCTGGCTACCTCTATATGTTGTCTCTTTGATATTTCCTCTRTATGCATTCAATGCAKTATAGCATCCATACCTTGTAATATCACAGCTCAGAGTATAGATCACCTGTAATGTGTATGTGCTTTACCTGTGAGTATATCTATGTATATATGGATCTGTGTGTATGCAGCATTACAAATTAGGCGTGCACGTACCTACTGTGTGTAGTTCTTTGTGGACGTTGTTTCTGTCAAACACTGCAGTGAAGAATTGTCAAGAACGAGCSTAGCAAAGTGATTAATCCAGGAGAATAGCAGGCGTCCTTGGAAAGCCTTTATCAACCTCTCTTGACCTTTCCCTAAAGAACCCGAAGTAAGCATTGTGGAGAAAATGAAGGACGTGACTGCTCAGGAAGGAGAAGATGCAGTGTTTGAATGCAAGCTGTCACGAGAGACAAGTGAGGAGAGCCAGTGGTTCCTGGGGGACCTTCGCCTGCAGAGCAACGAACTGACRGAGATCAGAGTKGGAGGGAACGTTCACACTTTGGTGCTGAGGAAGGTGACCCCAGAAGACAGTGGAGCCGTCAGATTCCAAGTTGGTCAGCATAAGGCATCGGCACATCTAAGGGTTGAAGGTGAGCAAGCCGTGGGTTGAGGAGGGTCGAGGAGGTTCTGGAAAGCCGTCCTCCTTCTGCCTTGATTACTGTTGAGGTTTGTGTTGCAGGGAGGAAGAAGGTCATCCTGCAGGAAGATGCATCAGAATTGGTTCCCAAGAGTATATCATTAATATGTTCTGAATTAATCTCCCACTTATGGTATTTTTGTGTCCTATCTGCTTATATGTCAAAAATCTTGGAAGATACTTTCCAGGAAGCGCTGTGAAATGCTTTTAAAAGTAGACCATAGTCATATCTTATATTGTTACTTCTTTAATGATTTGTTTCACAATTTAGATAAGGGTATAGTAATTAAAAGTAGATCTGTAGCTACATAGACATTAATTAATAGATCTTTTCAGTGATGTATGCATGTCAACATTTGATATGATTCCACTTCGGTGAATAGTGCTTCCTCAAAGCATTACATTTCATTAAATTGTTGATTTATGATAGGTTTATTCTTCATTGTCTTAAATGGTCCATATTTTCTTAAATCAGACCCAGACTTTTCCAGAAAGCCAACCAATAATATATTTGTGCTGCACATTAGAAAGTGTTATCATATGTCAGGACTGATCCTGGAACTATGGGATCTAATTGAAGTGTCATGAGACACTGCTATCTGCAATGTCATGCGTCTCCTGCTACCTCCAGAAGGTCTAAATTTGTCCTGCCCTTTATTCTTGCAATGAAATCAAAACAAAAACAGTCTATTTGACTGTGAGTTGTTATGAGTCCATGAGTGGATGTCCAGTTTGTCACGGGAGGTAATTGGAGCCCATGTAGGATGAGTTTCTCCACCTGACCTAAACATAGACTTTCCTACCCCTGCAGCTCTCCTACAGATGAATACATCAGAATTGTAGGTGAACCCTACATTCCTCCTCTTTCTCTTTTTGTTTTACTCTTTTTTTTCTTCTCATTTTTGCCTTTCCAGCTCTGCCTGTGTTTTTGAAAAACTGGCTGATAAATGAAGAAGTGGATGAAGGTGGCACAGCCATTCTGCCTTGTAAGCTGACAAAACCGAATGTTCCTGTTGAGTGGAGGAAAGGAGACAAAGTGTTGCATTCAAGTGACAAGTACGAGATCAGACAAGAGGGGACAGACGTTGAGCTTATTATCTACGATGCTGAGGCTCAGGATTCTGGCACCTACACATGTGTCTCAGGGGATCAGCAGGCCTCTGCATCACTGCAAGTCAAAGGTAAGAGACAGACTCTTGCTTGGGGGTAGAAAACATTTAGCTGGGGTCTTCTTTGGGATCTTGCCAGCCAGCTAATGAGAAGATATACTGGAATATATCTCTAAACCTAGAATGAGTCCATCTTAGTTGTACCTATTTGGGGCTGAGCTGTCAAAGAAGTACAGCTTTCTGTTTTTTTTTTTTTTTTTTTCCTCCTGGTGGCTAAATCCCCGTTTTTTAAAGAGTTTTACCAGATTTATTCCAAGAGTCCTGTGTCTTTTAGTTCTGACAATAAAATATTGATTCTGGAGCTTGTGTTAAGCTGTCATAAATGGTGTTATGCTTAGAATGAGTGGTTTCAGCAATTAAATGTCTAAAAACCGTGGTTTTGTGCTATTGTCCCTCTAAAGTGGTTTCCCTGGGAAGTATGGGATTGCGCACATGAAGCACTTTAGACTGCCCATGACCCACATTGATCTTAGATGAAGCAGCAGCGGACTCCCATAGTGGAGACTCTCTTATGAGTGATTCCCATAAGGCTTTGGCTATGCCAGACCTCAAAGTCCTGCTGGGGTGATGACGTTTCCAGCTGTGGATCATACAGATGGGAAAAGCTGCAAGTCGCCTGTTCCTATGTCACCAATGTGTCTGCCTCTCCATTGCAGTGCTACCAGTGCTCTTTAGGAAGGAGCTCAAGAACGTGGAGACTGAGGAAGGGGGAACGGCTGTCCTGCACTGCGAGATCTCCAAGCCGGATGCTCGTGTTGAGTGGAGAAAGGGCGGCAAGGTCCTTGAGCCCAGTGACAAGTACGAGATGAAGCTGAAGGGCAGCGTTGCTGAGCTAATCATCCATGGTGTGGAGCCCGATGACTGTGGGGATTACACATGTAGCACTGAATATGCAGTCACCACAGGCTCTGTGTATGTGCAAGGTAAGGGAGCACGTGATAGAAATGCTTTGAATTTTGTGCCAGAATTTCTCACTCAAGTATCACCAAGTATCTTTGACAGTAGCAGACCAAACTCGCCTTAGAAACTTGTCTTTTTATAGTTTTTAAAAACTATTTATTTGGAGTAAGTTTTAGAGAAAATACTGAATGTCCTGTTATGATTGGTTATTTCTTCACTAGTTTTTGATATTCCTGATAATCTGTTAAAACAGTGTCCATAAATACCCCATCGAAACCTTAGGCTAGCTTTCTACCTCCAACAACCTACAGTGTAAATGGAGATGGCTGCAACATACACTGGACAGCCAGGTAAAGGATGGAAGGTGTTTTTTAAGTCTCTCAAAGAAATGTAAGTTTGGGTTTTTTTTTTGTTTTTCTTCCCCCTGGAACAAGCATTAAAAGTTTAATATTCCTGGACAGCTTGCCTTATCCCTTGGGTTATTTCTACAGGAAGGAACGTGTATATGTTTATGCTTTTGTTTTCCTTTGGCACCTTCTCTTGCTCTGTTAAACAGAAGAAGAAGCAGTCATAGTTACTGGATTAAAGAACACAGATGTCTTTGTGGGTGAGTCAGCCACATTCACCTGTGAAGTCTCACAGCCAGGCGTGAAGAATGTACAGTGGTGGCTGGATGGATCTCCCCTTCACAACAACTTGGTGACAGAAATCTCTGAGCAGGATGGGATAGTCCATACTCTAACCCTAAAGGATGTGGCGTGCCATGACTCAGGCACTGTCACCTTCCGGGCTGGGTCCCTTATATCTTCAGCTAAATTAGTAGTCAAAGGTATTTTGTTGTGAGCGAGACACAAATGGCCACCTCTACAACTGCTCAGTGTGCTAGTGCTTCTACCTTCCCGGCTACCTTTACTAAATGTCACCAAAACTCTTGTTTGGCATGATAGTCCTGTAGCGTTCTAGCTGTACTCATGCCAGCAGTCTTGTAGGTATATCCTGCTTTTAGGATGATCCATGTGAGGAGGGCTTTCAGGGCCAGGGTTTTTGTTTCCAGCTGGCCTCTTGGTAGAGCTGGACATACTCAGTAGAAGAGGCCGTGCTTTGGTCACTATAGAGCTCCCCAGTTCTCCTCCCAGGCTCTTTTTATAATACCACCAATATTATGCGGCCAGAAGTTCACAGAATTCATTACTGCACTGTTCCAGAGCTTTGTTACTCTCACTATAGAAAGCTCAATGTGTTCCCAAGTGAACATCTTGGACTCATACGCTGATGGCTCCAGAGCCCCCAACAAGCTACTCTATAACCCCAGAGAACCACAATAGCAAAGTGGGTCCCCAAGTGCTTTGCTATTGCTTAGCACAGAATAGGAAAGCTTTTTCCATTGAACGATCTTTTTCCCCATTTGGTAAGGGTAGCCACAAATTGCAAATAACACTGAGCTCCAAACCTATGATGAAACAAGCTTCTTCACAGCCAGTCCTGTTATAGTCATCCAGAAAAAATAATGTTACTTTTCAGAAAAAAAATAAACAAAAATTGATACCTACTCCTTACTTGAAAAAGGGATTGTATATTAGGTTTAGCATGTAAGGCAGTGTAAAGGCTGAAATCTCTTTGTTTATGTCTTTCTCTGCATTATAATTATTACTGTAGAACAGACTGTCCACAATATGGAATTGTAGTCAGGAGTTGTTATCTATGTCTCTGCCAGTCTGATGTGTCCCTTTCAGGACCTTAGGAAAATTTTGCTCTCTGACGAGAAGAAATGCCAAATAATTTATAGTTAGTGTCAAAATGATACAAGAGTGAGTTAGTGTGTAAACATGAGAAATCCCAGGTTCATTTGCCAAAAAATATGACTTTAGTATTTCCAGACAGAGAGTCTGGTTCTGAGCACTGCAGCAAAAAACTCCAGTAGATGTAGAAACCAAATTAAAAATAAATACACTGTTAGATATTCAGTCAAATGAAGGGCTCCTGGGAAGTTTAAATTTCATAGAATCACAGAATTGTTAAGTCTAGCAGCCAAAGCTCATGATAACAGACATGTGTATACATACATGTATATATATGCTTCTGCTCAAGTAAAGATTTTTTTTTAATGTGAAATGAATCACAATGTTATATTTAGGACAGCTTTAGGACAAGGAAGGCCTTTAAAAAACACTCCAGTTATGATGCTTCACTGAATAACACTTGATTAAATAGAACAGTAAAACACTTGTAAAAATCTAGTTGAGGTTGTATTAAGAGCCATTTTCCTGCACTTTTTTTTTTGTCCAGAAATTTCTTCAAGCTATATTTCAGCCTGTCTAGCTATCTGTGTCTTGTTCTTCACCAGAGAACAAGTTGTCTTTCCTAGTATTGTGAACCCTATCCTCCTGATGTCCTTATAATGGGATGTATGTTCTGTATTGCCCGAGGTCTCCTGACAGCTTTTCTTCTTTGGCCTTCAGAATGCATCTGTCCTAAGATTTCATCCATTCATTCACTGTCCCAGCATGGCTGAGCAGGAGGGAATGGAGAAGGCTGGAAGAGCTGTCCTTTCCTCCTGGTCCCCTTGGACAGGGGTGAGAACTACAGTGTACCCAAGGCCCAGGGTGCCTCTTGTCATGCTGCAGGGGAGAATAGGGTCCCAAAGCTCCTAGCTGAGCAGTGGAACAGTGAGAAAAGGGCACTCTCCTTTTGGGACCAGTGGGGACACCGACTGAGAGAAGCCTATTTTTCACCTTATAGGGATGGTAGTGTAGACACCCTGTTGTACAGAGATCATCTTGCTTCTTCAGTCCTGATGGAACCAAAACATCTCTAGGATTTGACGTTGATGCCTCCTCTCCATATGCACCCCCTACACACACAAATACGGTGGCACAGGGAGCCTTACAGAGGAGAATCAAGCCTTGAAACGAGATGCCAAGAGGCATTTCCCAAACTTCCTTAAGAGGGGCATTGCAGGATTTGTCTGATATATCTATCAGCTAGAGAAAATGAAACTGCTTCTTATTATCCCCCAGAGCTATGTCTCTGGTACGGGGCTAGTTAAAAGAGCATGTACCTCTCCCCTGTGCAGTGCCTGTCCTTGTTAGAGTTGTCCATGAGCTTTTTTCCCCACACTGCTTCAGGACCTTGCCATTTCAAGCCCCTCTCCCAGTCCCACTGAACAATGCTGATGTCTTTTTTTATTTTTATTTTTATTTCTTTTTTGCCCAAATCAGTCAAGGCAGCCTCTCCACCATGCTCATCCATCTCAGACTTGCACTCTTGAAAGGTCCTGGGGAGCTAAAGCATTTCACATCCAGTACTACTTAGGCTAGAGAGTTTCACCAGTCCCGAGAGAACGAATGGGAGCAGAAGTCCCAGCAGATGTTCTGTGCAGAAGTTCAGGGTCAAGACTGTGAAAGTTCAGGTCTTCACGGTTGCTGGTCCATTTTCCAGTGTGCTAGTTACCTTCTAATGCACCAGTTTTGCTTTATCCCGTTTGATGCTGACACAAGCAAAGACTAAAACTGCTAATGCCCAGTGGGCTTCTTGCTTGCACTGTTACTCAGCTTGCTTTCTACAAGTCTGTACATGTCAAAAAAAAAATATCTCCAAGTTGCTATTTTGTTGAGGATCCACTAATGCATGTCCCTCCTGACGTGTTGGTTGACAGATCCAACCATTGAAGTGGTCAGTCCCATGCAGGATATAACTGTTGATGAAGATGGCACAGCAGAGTTCATATGCCAATATTCTAGGCCAGTGCACGCCATATGGAAGAAAAATGATCAGGAAATACATGCAGATGGGCAGCGAGTCATTATCGTGCAGGACTGGAATGTAAGCATGCTAAAAATTAAACCTGCGGTTCCAGAAGACACTGGCATCTATTCTTGTGAAACTGAAGGCACTAAAGTGGTGGCTGCACTTGATGTTCAAGGTGAGGTCTTCCAGAGAAGGAGGAAGACTATCATGGGTTCCAAATATAAAAAGGTGAAAAAATCATGGAAGCATCACACAATAAATGACACATCAGATCCCATTTTTGCTGTTCATCCCAGTGCTGATAGTAGTGCTAAGAATAGATGGGAGTTATTGGGAACTGAATAGGAAATTACTGCATTTCACAGAAGCTTAGGTCTAATTAACACTCACTTATATCAACTATGAATTCTCTTGTATGATGAACCACATTTTACTCTATCGTCAATCCAATAGGATGTCTTGCTGAGTTACTGACTTATTGCAGGTGTTAAAGTTGGTCCAAAGGAACAGTGAGAATAATTTTTTGCTGTTACAGAGTGATTTTTATATGCAATCCACTTTAAAACCACTTGCTAATGGTGAGAGGGGAATTTAATTTTATTTTGAGTTACTGTAACTGCAGTTCATCTAGTGCAGTATTTTTTTAAAACACTTCACTCAGGAAATACCTTTTCACTTGTATACTGCACTTGTGAGGGCCCAAAGAAACAGCAAATTAAAAATAACAATAGTTACATATTTTATATGGATGTCTAATAATTTATTTCTGATATCTGCATAAGGAATTTGGTTTTCCTGTCACCAGCTGAATTAATATGATGAGAAATAACAATGATTCTGCTCTGATTTCTGAATTACCATAGTTTGTTAGGCAAAATTGTGCTCTCTCCCTAATCATTTGTGAGTATAGGAGCAAAGTATTGTTTATTTATATATATTATTTATACTTTGATAAGTACATTCCATTTTAGGAATTAAAAATGGGTAACAGATATGAATAAGCGTAATGAAAAGAGAGGATCTCCAGTTATCTACCTTTTATGGACAGGGGAACTGGGACTCAGAAAGTGCTTGAAGAAACAGCTTGGATTGATCCTAACTTATGCTATACATTCTCCAAGGGTTTGAAAATCCTTTACTATTCTACCTGAGTATTATAAAATGTGGAAATCTTTTTAGTAACCCACATGATTTTTTACCTGGGAATAGTTCACTATTAATTTTCTGTGTTTCAGGCAGCAATCATAGAGATCCTAAATGAGTATCTCAGGGTGTTGGTTTATGTAGTAGATCATGACCATTTTGTGGTATTTGTGTCAACTATATTTCCATGCACATAACTTCACCATGTACCTGATCTTACACAAATTATATCCCATGCAGCAGCCCACATTTAGTAGTGCACCAGGCTGATAGCTTAGGTACAAATGCCAACCAGTGCATGCAACTGCAATGACCCTGCATGCTTCTGGCGACATGATTCACCTCACACATGCAGAGGAAAATAAGCCTAATATTATATTGTCTTAAGGCTTTTGTAATATTTCAGAAAATACTATTAATATAGATGTTAGTTTTTCATGTGTTTGCTAGAATTAGACTTGCAAAATGGCTTGTTAACTTAGTTAGCAGTGCCTACAGCTTTCCCAGTTGTAACACCCTCCTGATGCATTGATCTTGCATGAATTTTACTTTATTCACAAAAGACAAAAGTCAGGCTTTTGGAGGAAGTCTAGATGAAATGCTAGAGCTTCTAGAGATTTTTATTTATTTTTCTACTACCTTACAACTTAAAAAAGGGTCTCAGTATAGCTCAGTGTTTTAGAGCATTTCTGAATTATCATCTAAAGCCACAAGTCTACTTTATCACATCCATATCCTTTCCATCAGCTTTCCAGGAGTGGGAATCACCAGTGCTCCAAGGCTTGTCAACGTGCAGCTATTCATAGTCAAACAATTAACACTGTTGGTGGTTCTCCTTCACTAGCCAAGAACAGCATCATCCAAGGCCTGGAAAATGTGGAAGCAGTTGAAGGAGGTGAAGCTCTCTTTGAGTGCTACCTTTCCAAACCTGAGACCTACAATTACAACTGGCTGATTGACGATGAACCTGTCAGAACCACAGAAAACACGGAGGTGGTTTACTTTGAAAACGGACGCAGACATCTCCTTCTGATGAAGAACCTCACTCCCCAGGACAGTGGCCAGGTGACTTTTATGTGCAGTGACGCAGTGACCTCCGCCTTCCTGACCGTGAAAGGTAATGGATATTTATGGGGAATAGCTACGTTTTTGATTTGTGAGGGCAAATCAAATGTTGAGCAGTGTGATGAGTGACAGAGAGGAAGAGTTTCATAATTTGCTTCCTTCATACTCAACTTCTTATTCCCACATGATAAATGAATATTTTTTTTTTATTATTATTCTTTTTACCATGACCTGAATATAAAAAACTAGAAGCATATAATTCTCCTAAAATAATGGTGAAGTTGACTTTTTTAGGAACTTACCTTGTCCAAGAGATGCAGCACCTCACATTTTTCTTGGCTTTTGGCTAGAGACAAATCCTTCTCACATGTTGTCAGCTTTTTGTGGCTGCCTCTCATTTGCATTTCCATATTTTTGACTTGCCATATGTGCAAGCATTGCATATCCTACTTCATATGGCCTAAGCACAAAACCAACTTGTGTTCCCACCTTCTTTTCATTGCACTACTTTCTGAGATGTTTTCTAATACTCAGAAAGTGTCATTTCACCTTGTGCTCTTAAATTTCTTTTCACAGGGATTTTCGTTCTCAAAGGATATTTCCATTTCTTTTTTTGGCACAAAACTTGGGTTTCCTGTATTTTCACTATCATCTGCAAAATACTGGGGATTAGGTTTGGACTTTTTGTTTAGCCACATTTTATTATATTTATCATTTCATTAAACCAATGCGCTTGTACTGATAATTTTGAGGTCAAGTCCAGATTTGCTATGAACAGACAAAAATCTTACCAAACCTTCACAGTTGTGTCTGATTGCATGAGGACTAGATTTAGCTGTTATTAATGTTTTCTGTTATGGTCTGGTGACTGGGGCACATACCCATGTATACATTTCTGCATTAGTTATCCAACAAAATCACACTTCACAGAAAACATGAAGTATTCTCTGCCTCTGTAGTGTTACCACCTGCACCTATCTCACTTCCTTAAATATTGCCAAATAGGTACAAAATCTATAGTCTCAGACCTCTCCTCTTCAAAAAAAAAAAAAAAAAAAAAAAAAAAAAAAAAGAGAGAGAGAGAGCAATTCAGGAACATCAGTGAAAATAAGTCAATTGTCACTATTTAAAAAAGTTATAGCTAATAAGGAGACAAATTGGAATGCCTTTCCTGACTCAGAAATGTGCAAAAAGACAGGCTGAGGATTTAGTGTGCCAGGGTCTTGGGAGAGTTTGGACTCTGATTTGAATAGCAGTTGAGGACCTTGGCCTGAGGACCAAGTCCACCTTTGAATTAATATTGTACTTCATAAGATATTATAATTATGGTTATGGTTCACGTGCTATAGGTGTCTTTGCTTGAACAGGATGATCTCTGAAGGTCCCTTCCAACCTAAATCATTTTGTGATTCGATGATTCTCTTATTTTATGATGCTATTAATCCTTTATATTTTTGGAAAAAGGGAAGAAGTTGCTCTTTCTTTATGATCCTTTTGGGGTCAGCTGATTCCGTGCTTCTGGCTTACGCATTAGCCATTTACTGATTAGTCATAGAGAATCAGAACCAGGATTCACCTTTGGTAATTGCAGGCAATTCCATGAGTTACCTAAATCTACTTGTCCCAGACTCCTTTTGTGCTCTGTAAGGAAGAGAGTCATCTTCAGAGTGTCTGCAAATACTTACCTCACTGAGAGGATGCCCTTTTCTCAGTGTTTTTTGTTCAGTAAAGAAAACACAGGAAAAAGATGTTTTTGTCAGAGATATGTGATTCTCAATAATGAAAGTTCTGTAAGTTCATTTATATTTTTCCAATATTTTTTATCTGCTATATTGGAAGACATTTCTGGATTGGTTTGCATTCCTGAAAACTCTTGGAAAGCTTCAGTCCCCAAGGATATGATCTGTTGTAGTGACATACACAACCTCCCTATTGATGATCTCCTTGGTCTGCAAAACCTGGCTGTGCAGAGATTCAGCACAAATACTCCTAACGCCTCTTACCACCATTTGTTTCAGTACCTGATGGCTTTTTTTGGGGCCTGTTTTTATCTGCAGGGTGGCGTTTACAGATCTTGCAGCCTCTCACAGATATGGAAGTGTCTCCAGGGAACAAAGCTACGTTTAGCTGTGTTCTAAGCGAAGCGGTGCCGATTAATGAAGTTACCTGGTATCTCAACGATACAGAGATTCAAGCCAATGAAGACTGGGAGGTGCAAGCAGATGGAAGTAAATACCAACTTATTCTGAAAAAAGCCCAACCCTATCATTCTGGAGAGGTGACCTTTGCTTCTAGGGAAGCAATTATGTCAGCCAAGTTGACTGTGATTGGTAAGTTCATATATTGTAAATATCAGTTGTTCTAGCCCAGCATCACTTGAAATTTCAGACTTTGGTATTGAGATACTGCATCAAATCTTCTAGGCTTTATACTGATTTCTTTCTTGTGTCTCAAGCTGGCCTTAGGCTGAGAAGATGCTGCTGCTGGGCAACTTGTTCTTCAGCCAGAAAAAGTTCACTTCGTCAAATGAAATTCAGATCAGGCTAGAGATGATCACCAGGGATTCTTAGCTGCAATCTTTCATAAAATGTAACATAGAATCTCATGAAAATCAGTTTACTGAGAGTTTAGCACCCTCTGCAAACATGTGGACTTGGAGCAAACTGAAGTAGTGTGCAATGGAAAATTACCAGGTGCAGCAGAGAACCCTTTGAAGTGTGCAAATCTACTCAAGTAGAAATTTGACTGTAAATGCAAACAAGGAGCTGTGCACCCAAGGCTTGCGTGTGAAATAAAGTGGTTAGCGTCTCCAATAATAATAAAACAACTGTTGACCTCACTTCCCCATAATTTATTGGATTGCTATAGTATATAATGGAAGGCCATTTACTCAGTAAATGCCGTACACATCTTGTTTTAGAACAGGAAAGTATCTTAATAATATGTGATGTAAGTATTGGAGACGGTCCTTGGAAAGTGACTATTTGTCGTTAGCAGTGTAGGCTGATGGATCTAGCTCAGGTATGCTGCTGGTCATAGGCATTGTAGCACTCAGCTTCATGCTGAGATGGGTGATGAATCCATTGGACTTCCTCTTGTTGCTTGCAGAAACCTCGCAAGTATTTTTGTATAATAAGGCTCTGTTGATCATGATATACATCACTGGAACTTTGTTGTGCCCTCAGCCCACCCCGATCCCCCTGAAGAACCAGAAGTTTTAAGTAAGAACAGTCACTCTGTAACTCTATCTTGGTGCAAGCCGCTGAGCGACGGTGGTTGCGACATCCTGGGCTACAGCGTGGAAAGGAAAATCCCAGGTGTTGGCTGGCGGTCGTGCAGCGAGGGAATGATTCAAGACACGGAGTTTGTGGTGGACCACCTCACCCCAGGCGAGCCCTACAGATTCCGCGTCTCGGCCATAAATAAAGTTGGGGCCAGTGAGGCGGTGCACTTCCCTCAAATGGTGCAGCTAGGTGAGGAGGAGAGGTGGCCCCAGGAGGACCAAGAGATGCTCTAGGCCTGTGTTTCGCATGGCATGCCTGCTTCACCCACTCCAGGGATCTCCTGGGAGAGTCAACTCGGCAACATATTTCAGTGTTTTGCTGCCATACAGAATAGGAGATGGAGCTTGGAAAAATTGTTGTTGGATGCTGCAAAGCCTTGTTAGTGCTCAATATGTATTTTCTCCAAACTGCACCAAGCTGTCATGTGGTCTGCACTGCATCCATGTGTTGTCTGGGGACCTGAGTTTCCGTTCTGGTGGAGATCAAATGGAATGAGGCAGAAGGAGCATGTTGGAATGTGTTGGGTGCAGCTGAGGCCCTGGGTGCCTGCGTAGTGGTTGGCTAGTGTTGTCTTCATCGCCCATCTTTCTCACTCATTATACTATTGGCATACCTTCATATAATTATCTCCATGAGGGAGTGGTAGAGGACACAGTTCCTCTGGTGTCTGCTGGCAAAACTTTGGAAGCCACAGTGAGATGGAGAGCCTCTTTTCCATTTTTTTTTTCTTTTCTTTTCTTGCAACACCATCTGTGATTGCAGAATCCCCAGCAATATCTCAAAATGGAAAGACTATATAAGTGTGTGTATATATATTTATATATATATAAAAGAATACTCTTTGTTTAAGACTCAGACACCCAATAACATTTTTTTGCAACATAACACTTCCAGTGTGTCATGTAGAGGGGCAATTGACACTCAGAACTGTGCTCCTGTGGGAAGCTCAGCTGTGTTCTTTAGGTCCCCATCTCTGGCAGCTGAACATCTACAAATTTCATGGATCTCTTTTTGACTTCATTTGGAGTATCACTATCATCCAAACAGCAAGTTGTTGACAAGACTCCTTCCAAAGTAAAGAAGATACAGAAAAGATTTTTTTTGTGTGTGTGTGAAAATCTTTATACTTTTTGAGAATTTTTAACTCCGCTTTCTTTCACTTTCAAGCCTGGGATGAAGCCAGGATTTAATAATCTCTTTGTGCATTTTTCTTTATGATGTCACTTCTTCAAAACCTATTCAATCTAAACATTAAGATCTTCTAGGATGTCTAGGGCTGTTTGAATGTCCTTTATGATGGGTAAATGAAGATCACCAAATACAGAAATAGGAGAAAATTGAACAAATTTTGCATGTGTATATATAAATATATATATATTTTCTGTATTTGGTTTAATCACTGGTGGAGCTTTTTGGGTTATCTTTGGTTTTATGTTTGGAAGTTGTGAACTTTGAATGATGTTTGTTTGCCTGCGACAATCAAAGAATCTTTAAGTTAAGGATGGGATAATGTTTGGTTATTCTGTTATTCTGCTATTCTTAGAGTCATCCGGAGTACTGTGAAGCCATATGACACGTTCTGATATATTGCGTTAATTCCCATCACCTTGTCTTTTCTTCTTTTTTTTCTTCTTTCTTTTTTTCTTTTCTTTTTAATTACAGAGCCTCCAATTACAGTCACTCATGCTTTGGTGGGAGGATCAGTCTTGGAAGGTGAGGAGGCGCGCTTGGAGTGCAAATTATCAAGTGAAACCCAAGAGACAGTGACATGGTTCAAAGGAGAAGAACAAATACAAGCTGGAGGGAGATATAAAATCCTATCTGATGGAAAAAAGCAGATACTCATTATTCATGCCTTTAAACCTGAAGATCAGGGCACATACACCTGCATGGTTTCTCCAGAAGTCAAATCGGTTGCCAGCCTGAGTCTTGAAGGTACAGAAGGTGCATTCCTGTGACATTAAATCAGTTCTGTTTATGGACATCTAGGAGTGTCTCCTAGATAGATTTTCCTGATATTTTCCACCTTAAAAAATACTCATTATCACCAAAGTCGTCAGCACATTATAGCTTAGAATAAAAAATTTGAAAGAAGAAAAAGAAATGTGTTAGCCCTGGGATACACTGTGACCAAAACCAATGAAGATCTATTCAAGACAGTCAGTGGAGCCCAGTCTAACTATAAAATAGAGAGAGATGAACTGCTTTCCATGCTCCACTGACTTTCTTAACGATGTGTTCTTAGATATGTTCTTGACTAGATATGTCCTGTGGCAATTACCACAGGACTGTAGGCAGGAGCTTATGGAAGACACTTGCAGTTATGCTTCTTTTCCCATACTCTAGATCTTCCTGTCTTTCTACTTTGGCCTCAAAAGGAACCAAAAAAATGGGCTTATGCTGCCTGGATTTTAGTTGACTACAACTAGGCTGAGTCACTCTAATCTCAATGTGAAGAGAAAGAACTGAAAATAATGGATAAATTGTGAATGCAGCTGTTTGTTCATTTTTTTTACAAAATGAGCTTTGGTTAAAATGCATTGGTAAATTGAGAATTGTTTAAAATGCATTGGTAAATTAAGATACATGAGGAAAAAACAGCAATGTATAGATTTCTTCAAACAAACAAACAAAAATATATTTCTGTCATTCCTTCACTTGAGATCAGGAGCTTAGTGAGGTCTCCCATTGAAAGACTATCATCGTTAATCTAATTGTATGTGTTATTTTCGATATCCAAATGTGAATCATACTCATTTGGTCTGATTTATTATTATTCTTAGCAAAAACTTTGGCACTTCTATTGTTTACCATAAGAACATTTTTCTAGTTCACCAATAAAAGACAGCTGCAACAGAAAGGGCAAAGTCACTCTGTTCTATGAGGAGACTAGTGATCAAAACAATTCTGTGTAGTATTTCAGTGAATATACAGTCAATGTCACATTTCCCAGTAGGAACAAGTAAAACTGAGAACTCAGCAAGAGATTAAAATTTTAAAAAGTAGTGTTTATGTCTTTGAAGTATGTAGAATGAGGGAAAAGAATTGAAGCTCTACTCAGCTGCTCTGATTCACCTTATAGCTTGTGCGTTTCCATGGGTTCTCCAAGGCCTAATTGAAAGCTTTTGTTTTTGAAACATGAGCTTCACCGAATGCTGGATAGCTTACAGTTTTGATGTGACTACATATAAGGAATGGAATTAGAGAGCATTAAAGAACTACAGAATTTGGTTTACTAGCTTCAAATGAGTGAGGAAGAAAAGAAAAATGTTGATGTTTGGCCATATATTGTGTACATGCATAGAAACATAGGAAGATTGAGGTTGTAAGGGATATCACTAGATAGCATAGTTCAACTCACCTACGATAAACAGGTGCCAGAGGGAGCAGGTTGCTCAGGGCCTTGTCCAGGAGGTTTTTAAATGTCTCCAAAGGTGGAGACTGTACAGCTTCTCTGAGCAACCTTTTGCAGGAAATTAAATTTATATTTTGTTCTCAACATAACATTTAATGAAGCATCAGTGATATTCTTCTGTCAGAATTTTAGTATGATATTTCCATGTGTTTTCTCTGGGCTTAATCATAGATTTCATCTTTTAACATCTCACCAATCTAATTCTCCTCAGTTCCAACTGTAGCAATGATTGCCAGAGAGACAGCGTCTGCAAACCAAGCAGAAGAGCTGGTGGATGAACATGTCCAGCCCAGCTTGCCCCCTGAGGCTGCTCAGGAAGGAGACCTCCACCTGTTGTGGGAAGCTCTGGCCAAGAAACGCCGAATGAGCCGGGAACCCACCTTGGACTCCATCAGTGAGGTGCCTGAAGAGGATGAGAAACTTCAGAAACTGAAGAAGGAAGAAACAGAGATGTCTCACTATTACTCAGAGGAATGCTCCACATGTGACGAGCTGGCTAGGACAGGAGAAGCAGATTTCTCTCTCACAAGTTCAGATGATGAATCTAGAGCTGGGACCCCTTCACTCGTTGTCTACCTCAAGAAAGGTGGTAAGAAAATTGCCAGCGTTACTAGCAAGGTTCAATCTGTTTCTGCAGACAAATTATGGAAGCAGTGGGAAAAAACTGATGTGGAGACTGTTGAGGCGGTCCAAGAAGCTAAGCCAGCTGAACCAGAAGTAGCAGATGCAGATGATCCTTCCATGAATAAAGCAGCTGTAAAGATCCAGGCTGCTTTCAAAGGCTACAAAGTCCGGAAGGAGATCAAGCAGCAAGAGCGCCCTGTGTTCATTAAGACCTTCAAAGATTTCTCTGCTGAGCCTGGAAGCACTCTCCACCTCGAGTGTGTGGCCCACAGCAAAACAGATATGAAAGTCCGTTGGCTGAAAGATGGAGAGGAGCTTTCAGATGGTCGCTACTATCACATAGACAGTTACAGTGATGGGACCTGCTCCTTGATTATCGCTGGCCTGGATATGAAAGATACAGGTAAATACACCTGTGAGGCATCTAATAAATTTGGCCAAGTTTCACACAGTGCTAACGTGGTGATTGGCAGTCAGAAACCTCAGCTGATTCGTGAAGAGAAGCGTGTTAAACATACCACTGACAGCGAGACTGAGAGCTCTTCTGGCAGCGAACTGGATGATGCCTTCCATAAAGCAGGAAGGAGACTTCACAGACTCTTCAAGGCCAAGATCTCAACAGAGATATCTGATGTAGAGGAAGAGCTCTTTGTCAGTGCAGATGAAGGGGATGTAGAGGTGGTAGACCATCAGACATATCGTGAGGATGACCAGTACATCTACATCAAGTTTGAAGTCTTGTCTGAGGCAAAAACTGCAGCCACTCGGTTCCGAGAGATGTTTGGTGCCCTGGGAATCCCTGTGGAAATTGACATTTTGGAACAAGGCCCTAAAAAAATTGAATTGCGTATTGGGAAAGCAAAGCCACTCACCACCAGGGACTATGCACCACAAGCAGGAAGGCCTCCTTCAGCTTTCCTGACTGATACAGGTGAGTAAAGCAAGCTTATTTTGACTATGGAAAAAAAGTAGCTGGAGCAGATCGGGGTGTTATCTTTTCACTTGAGAATAACTTTTAAAATTTCATTTTTCATTTTGTGCAGATGTTTTCTGGAAATCTTTGCACATTTTCCTTTTTGGGGAGAGGAAGGAAGTTGATTCTGGGGCAAGGAGCTGCAATTCTTACTCATCTATAAATTTATTTTTCGTAGTAGAAACTTCCACTGTTATAATGATATAGCTATAAATACTTTTATAAAAGTACTTATAGCTATATAGTATATAGTTTGCAGCTGTGGTATTTCAATGTTTATTTTAGTCCAGGAGAATTTTTTCATAGTCTTTGCAAGAGTTTCTTCTTGGCCTTTATTTTTGTGGAGAAATATATCACTCTTATTTAAAATCCTACGAAGCAGAAGTCTTCTGGCCCTGGGCAAAAGTGCTCCTATAACATGTCTAACATAGCCAATATTTTCCTCTCTTTTCCCCTGTCTACCTTAGCTTTAGCTCCCATGTTCATGACTGAGCTTCAGAACCAAGAGGTGCAAGAGGGATATCCAGTCAGCTTTGACTGTGTTGTCATTGGCAAACCCCTCCCCACGGTTCGATGGTTCAAGGATGGGAAAGCTATTGAAGAAAACGACCATTACATGATCAGCGAAGATGAGGAGGGGCGTCATCAGTTGGTCATCACAGCCGTTGTCCCTATGGACATGGGTGTTTACCGTTGCCTTGCTGAAAACAGCATGGGTGTTGCTTCAACCAAAGCTGAGCTTCGAGTAGACTGTAAGTCTCAAATAATTGTAGGAAAACCAGAAAATGTCACGATTAGAGGGGTATTTTTTTTAATAAAGGTGTTATTTACATTTAAAAAAAAAAAGATTTTTTTTTAATGTTAGTTTTTTTTCCTAAGCCAGGGGCATGTGGGACCCTGCTACAGCAATGTGCAATCAGACAGCCTCACATTAGTAAGGACATGGAGAGTGTGTCCTTCTCATTGGGGAGAGTCTGAGGAGATTTCGGTCCTCTAGGAAATTCTGGGAGGAAAAAGCTTCAGATTCCATTACATACATTTTTTTTCTACTTAACAGTGACCAGCACTGACTATGAGACAGCAGCAGATGCAACAGAGACATCCTCCTACTACAGTGCCAAAGAATATGTTTCAAGGTAAGTCTAGCTCTTTCTAACTTCTTACTCTATAAAGTCAACATAATTCTTTAGTGATGCTTTCTATGTGGAAATACTGAGTCTGGTTTTGCTGGACCAGTTTAATGTAGTAAAGGGACAAGCAGATGAGCTGAGGTCCCAGTTGCAGTAACTACTGCAGATGGACATTTATCACAGACTAATTTGCCCTGCTAATTTGCCATTTCAAGCTACCCTGCCTATTTTCCTCTACTTTTAATGATATATAAGGTGTTGTTGTGATGACAAACATACAGAATGAATTATCCTGAAATAGGTGATCCTTATTTCCTTAATCCTTTGCTATGCTTTCTTCATTTTAACTCTAATTGCTTCTTAGTCGTGAGCAGGAGGAGTCTACCACTGAAGAGGAGCAATTGCCTCAAATCCTTGATGAACTTCATGATATTCATGTGGCACCTGGAGCATCCTTGGCCAAATTTCACCTCAAAGTGAAAGGTGAGGGGAAGCCACAATATTTTGTCATGTTCCAGGTTTGCGGTCAGAATAAAGCACTGAACAGAATTTTCTGCTGTGCTCTTTCATAGTTGTGCTTCCAATACATTCATCTTGCACCATTTTTGCATAAACCAGCTAGAGTAATGCATATGTGCTGATGAACATTGGGATTCTGCAGGAGACACAGCCAGATAAAATGTCCTGTTTTATGCTTATCTTTGCAGGTGTAATTACAGGGATATATTTCTGTAGGAGCAATAAGGAATGAAAAGGCAATAGCATCTCTTTATTCTCTTTAATAAATGAAACAGTTCTGGGCTAGGAGCTAGTAATGAGTCCTAACTCATCTTCCTTCACTGCAATGGTTTTATTATTCTTGGAGTGGGTGCTGAAGTTGTGATACAAACCAAGGGTGATTTAGGCCAACATTTAGCTTTCACTGGGGATTTTACTATTTGGCTTTTTGTGAGTTGCAAATTGGTCCTTCCAATCTGGAAGGTATTTGGATATGCAGCAGCTATGGGGAGTGTCAGGAACCAAAGACACAGAAAAATAAGTTAAACTGAGCAGATCTCATGTTTTCTTGACTCTTTCGAAGCATGTGGTTGGGGAGATGTTCCCAAATTGTCACTGCTAATGCACTTTTTCCTTTGCTCCTTGTAGGGTACCCAGAGCCTCGCCTCTATTGGTTCAAAGATGGACAGCCTTTAAATGCCTCCGACCGTATCCTGAAGATTGATAAAAGAGAATTCCACTCCCTGGAAATTCTCAATGTCACCAAGGCTGATGCTGGCCAATACTCAATATTTGTCATTAACTCTGCTGGTTCTGCATATTCGTCAGCCAGGCTGGTAGTCAAAGGTAGGTTTTTGGCATGTCCTGACTCATGGTTATTCCAATGAAGTAACATTTCTTTGCAGTATGTCCTGCAGTGAGTAAGCCCCTAGAATTTTTTTTTTTCCTTTTTTTCTTTGCACTTCATGGACAGAAAGATATTTGTAATTTTCTTCTTATTCTCTGCTTCACAGGACTTGATGAGAAAGAAGAACCACTAGAAACAGGTGAGATTTATAGCAGATGATAACAGAACCTCTAGACATTTTTCAGTGGTCTTAGCTCGCACAGAAGGTTTAACCATGTTCTACCAATAATGTCATTTGCAGATGCGCATGAACAACTGATACCACCAAGATTCCTGGAAAGATTTACCAATAAAAAGGTTAAGAAAGGTGCAAGCATCACATTATCTGTAAAAGTTGAAGGTAAGTGATCTGCCCACATAACAATGAAGTTTTGTGATGTGTTGTCTCCCTTTGGGCCACCTCATCTGAACATAATCTGGGATATTAAATCTGAAGTCCAGGGAACTAGTCCTGACTTTGTAAGAGACTCTCTGTGCTTCACAGCAACTCATCTTCACTTCCATTTTCCTTTTCTATAGTCCTACAAAGATGTGTTGTTTAACTGGTTTTATATGGTGCTTTAATGTAGGAGTGTGCTGTAGAAAGGTATGTGTTCCTTCATTGTATATTATGATGGTTACTGCTGTGAAAGTATCAGAAAACAGATCAAAAACAACATTCACACACATCTATTGAGGCTTGTTAGAAAAGACTATCACTGTTAGGAAAATTAGAGCTCCTTGTATTCCATTTCCTTTAGGGTATCCACTACCGACTATCACTTGGCTGAAAGAGGAGTCTCAAGAAAACATCCTTTGGATCAAACCAGACACTCCAGGATATAAACTTGCCAGTTCAAACATGCATCATAGTCTAATCCTGTTGGATGTTAAAAAGAATTACAGTGGACCTTATACATGCATTGCCACCAACAAGGCTGGGCAGTCCATCTGCACTGCCACCCTAGAAGTTATAGATGGTAAGTCCTTCTTGCAAAACACATTTTTTTTTTATGTTGCCTTGTAAACAATGGCTAAAAGAAAAATAAATCTGACTGATAAGGTCATTGTATAAATCTTAACATAACAGGATGGATGAATACATGTGTATGGACAGGAAAGGGAATGAACTGTATTTGCATCATATGAGTGTGTGGGTGTATGCTGCTAACAGCAGAGCTTTGCTATTCTGGTATTTTCATGCATCTATGTTTAGAAAATGTGTTCCACAGTAAACACATTTTAAAAGTACTCTTTGTTTTCTGTCCTCTAATGATAAACCCTGCTGTTGCAGTGAAAGAGGCTGAAGTTCTGACCCAGGAGCGTGTGATGGTATCAGAAGCTATAATGACCACGCTGGGGTAAGTACTTGACCATCAAGGCTGAAGCACATTCTGAAGTGAGATCCACTTAAGTGGATGTTTTCACTTGTTTTCACTTCTAGAATATATGTAGTCTAAAAGACTTGACTAGTCTTCCTGGAAGAGATGTGTATTCCTGGAGGATGAATTTCCCTCTCTGAGAGTCTGTTGGCTTTCTGGCATTGTCAGCCTTTTCTCACAGTGTCAGTGTCAGTTTTTTCTCTTCATTGACATGAGAAGACCCTTAAGTGAAAAACAGAAAAGTCTTGCTTGGGCTAATTGGAACTAGTTTGTACTTTTCAAAGGTTTATAGCTTGTATTAGCCTAGAGGTGTTCTGTAGACGAATAACATATCTTGCTGCAATTTTGTTAAAACTTGGTAGATTTCAACTAAAATATTATTTCATTATGAGGCATATTTGGAGATATGTGTTTTATTACTGTTTGACAGCGGAGTGAGTTTCAGTGAGCTGCTTATGTACCAAGAGCATTGTGCAGAGAATTAGGCCAGATAGCTTGTACAATGAAAATTTTTACCCTTGCTCACTTTGAAGTAGTTTATTCACATAGACAAGCTCAGATGTCCTCTAATTCCTCTCTGAGAGAGAGAGAGAAAAAGGGAAAGAGAGAATGAAAGGGAGGGAGGGAGAGAGAGAAAGAGCTAGACCGAAAGAGGAAGAAAAAAAGAAGCTGAGATGCTATAAATACATAAATTTGTAATGATCCTGAATCCCACCCAAATTACCATGATTTGTCATTTTAAATTCTAATCCTGCTTTACTCTCTTTTTTCTTTTTCCAGAGCTGTACATGGATCCGAATCAACAGTAGGTAAGAGAAGCTATTTTATATGAACTACTCCTGCCTTCCCTATCTACAGCTCAGGTTGTCCACATATTTCATTATTGCCACCTGTTTTTGTTCTTTTTTTCTCTTATTGCTTCCTGAAATATTGTACCTTTTCAGGACTGGTCTCTATTAAAGGATGAAAAATGACAGAAACTTCTTTATTTTTCAGGAGACCTTCAAAGTATAGCTGGGAAAGAAGGTGTATCCAAAAGCGCTGTTTCCTTAGCCGATGTTGGGACAGAAGAATTCTTCCAGAAACTGACCTCGCGAATCTCTGAAATGGTATCTGCAAAAATAAATCAAGGTAAATGACCTAGCAAACACAATTGAATTAATACAGAAAAATATGTAAGCTCTTTTTAGGTCTCCTAATGCTCCAAAGCATTCCTGCTGTGCACAGTTTCCATGTCTTGAGTTGTAGTTCACAGTGGGAACTACATTCACAGTGTATGGATATGCAGTAAAATAATGGTTCATTAAGTTAAAATGAAAAAAAAGATTTGTTTTGTGTACGATGTGTTGATTCTCTTGTAGTAAAGTTTTTTCTTGAAGCAATGATGAAGTCATACCTCTTGTACCGATATTTTTACTGCAATAAGTATATAATCTCATGTATTAAGGCATTCTAATTTTTTAGACAGTCTTAAATATTGATAGGCAATCGCACGAAATGCTTCAAGTGCTCTTCTGAACAAATAGTTAATTTTGTTAAATTAAAATTTAGTATAGAGTCATGTTCAAATACAAGACCTGCATTTCACACTTCGCTGTTCCTCTGCTTTTCAGCCACACTTCGAGTACGAGGTGCAGATAGTGATGATGAATCAAAAACTCCCTCTGCATCTCCTCGCCCTGGTCGATCCAGGCCTTCATCCATCGTCCAGGAGTCCTCCTCTGAATCTGATGATGGAGATTCCCGAGGAGAGGTGTGTTATGGGTAAATAGGAAGAGAAACAGTTCTTGAGAATTCTTCATCTCCTGTGTTTTAAGGATCTCCATACTGCTTTATGGGATCTACCTCACTTTAGTAAGGATTGGAAACCAAGTACAGGTCCTGTGATACAGACCACAGGTGGAACAGTAAAGAACAAGATTCTCATGTTCACTGTTTGATCTTCAAGTCAAATTGTCCAAGTCAATATGATCAAAAAAGCCATTATTCAGTAGCTTTTTGGTTTATTTTGTTTCATGGCTTACAGCTATGTAAGCTTAGAAACTTACAGCCATGTTAGCCTAGCTTAAGAAAATCAGAGCTTGATTTCCCGAAGCTTTGGATAGAGTTTGTCAGAAGAAACATAATTTGCTGAAAATCTGAACTTTATTTAGATGTTCATTTCAAGAAGTTTTAAAACATATTAAACTTTTAGCAATGTTGACCTGTTTCAACATTTTCAGAGCCACTATTTGCTTTGACTTGAGAGTGAAATTCTCTATTTCATGATGTAAATCCAAGATACTGCAAAATGTTTTGAAAATATGTGCAGAACCTTTTTGAGACTTAGTTTCCAGACTTGCAAAAAGTGAGCAGTGATTCTCTACCATAAAAATGTTGGAGGATAAAGCATTAAACATGAATAAGCACACTTAGGTTTTGCTGGTGATACAATATTGTATTCCCCTTTCAGAGCTCAAAATAACTGTCATTTCATGTGTGCAGATCTTTGATGTCTACATGGTCACTGCTGACTTTGTGCCTGCTGTGCCTGACAAGGAGGCCATCACTTTGAAGGAAGGGCAATATGTGGAAGTCCTCGATTCAGCTCATCCACTGAAGTGGCTAGTCAGGACTAAACCTACCAAATCTAGCTCCTCCCGACAGGGTTGGGTATCTCCAGCTTACCTGGACAAGAAATTAAAGGTAATTGATTATCCCGCATTTATTTTCCTGTAAAGTTATGTCTCTTTTTCCTTCATTTTAGAGTCATCCCTCTAAACTGAAGTGAAGGGTGAGGAGGTCATCGAAGGGATCGATAACATGATAAGACTTTTTCATGTTTCAGTTAGACAATGTTTTTATGTCTATGGAGCAGTATCCAGGTTTAAAAGACCTAATCAGTCTTGAGTGAGAAAGAAACATCACACTACTCCTTTAGGGATTGTTGAAAGAGTCTATGAGAGATATTGCTCTGTGTGTAATGGCAAAAACATTGTTAAACAGGAAGAATAATATGTCCTTTCCCTTTGTATTGTAGTTGTCACCAGAGTGGGGATCAACTGAAGCTCCTGAATTCCGTGGTGAATGTGTTTCCGAAGATGAATATAAAAGGAAGCTGACGTAAGATTGTCAGATTGTACAGGCACCACTTGATCTTGCTGATGCTTGAGCTAACATGAATGTCAGTGTTTAGGTCCCTCCTGAGTGACTCTTCCTATATCACCGAGGCCTGCCCTCTCCCCTTTTTCTCACTTGATCTTCTCAACATTTATATCTGTAAGATCTTTCTGGTTTCATAATGTGGCATCTAAGTTGCAGCCATCAACCCTACATAGATCCTCCTATTGCTCGCCCTCAGTTTTATCTAGCCCAGCTGTAGATGTCTGTAATGTATGCGTCTGTGTATAAGCAGTGTCTAAAAATCCCCTTATGGTCTGAGGAGATCTAGTCAACATACTCAAATGCTCATCTCTGCTTTAGACACATGGCAAAAATAATTGTGCTGATATTGTTTTTTCCTATCACCTGACTTATCATGCTGTCTTATCGCCTGTTCATATTCCTTTCAGTGTCATTATTCAGGAATTGCTGATCTCAGAAGAGGATTACATTCAAGATTTGCAGTTCTTCCAGACTCATCACCTCAAGTACACGGAGACCTGTCCCAACATCCCAGGAGCTGTTTCCAGTCAGAAATCCACTATCTTCAGAAACATCGATGACATTGCTCATTTCCATTCCAGGTGGGTATTCTGTGCCATCATTTGGGGGATAAGGTCTCTGTAGCTCATGTAAGAGCCACAGTAAATATGGATACTATGGAGAATGAAGAGAAATGGCAATTTGGGAGAATAAGAGCATCAACTGGCATTTTAGAGTGAGAGATGATGGCCCAGCTTAAGCCAGAGCACAAGGCTAGAACCCCTGTATTAGTCCCCAGACCTTCAAGACTTATGTCCTGCTTATTTCTTGTCCTTTTGAATGAATTTAATAGATCAATATGAAACATGGCAATATCTTTCATCCCCTCTGTCATTTCCTTAGTCTGTATTAGCCTGAAAATACCTTATTTAAAAATCTGTGTTAATAGTCTGGGACTGTGTTCTAGCCGTATTCCATGACCTAATTCAATTAATTCTGATTTTTTTTTTTTGTCTCCCCAGTGTCTTCCTCCGAGACTTGCGGAAGTGTGATACTGATGATGATGTGGCCATGTGCTTTATTAAGCATGAGGCAGATTTTGATAAGTACATCCAGTACCTGGTGGGGCGGATTCAGGCAGAGTCAGTCGTTGTCAGCAAAGCTGTCCAAGATTTCTACAAGGTAAAATAGTAGCCCAAGTACCTGCTGAAAGGGCATTCACTAACCCACTGTATCATGAAATATAGACATTAGTTACAAATATGATCTCAAAGGGAATTATTAAATAGTCTCATGAGAACTCATTGCTAAATACAGAAATTTTACTTACTGTCTAGCCTTTCCCTCTAGACTTAATCAATATTTGAATGTGTGACTTATATACTTATGGGTATTATTATTATAACAAGGAACATGTACATGATTATGTCACTATTAATAGTAGAAGATGAATATATTAAATATAGCACCTCAAAGAAATGCTATTAGTTATGTAAGAAAATAAAGATGTATGTAGATTTTAGTTTCTCTAAAACCTTATCTCAATCTTTCCTCCTTCTTATCTGTATTTCTTTAGAGATACACAGATGAAATTTTAGTTACTGAAAATCCTTCGCAGTCACTTATTCCACCAGTGCAACACTATCTGGAAAAACCCATAAACAGGATCCAGCAGTATCAGACTATTATCAAGGTAGGAACTTTTTGTTGCAAACATCTGTCTAACAGGTTTATGTCCTACTTTGTGTATCCTGTGAGGAGAAAGACTTTGTTCTTATTTCATATTAGCAGGGTTCATCCTGTTTTAACTCTGCTTGAAAGTTGGTTGAGTAAGAAAGACAGTAGATGAGATGGTGATCTCTAAATGGTCTATAAATATAAATTTAGAGAGGTTCACAGGACCAAATCTATAATGACCAACAAGGTTTATTCAAATGATCTCTATCAATATGCATATGTGCACATACAAACACACATAACATAAAAATATGCATAGATCTGTAGGTATGGATTTATATATGTAAATATGCATGGCAAGGAAGAATTCTTACATACCCATTGACAAATCTGTTCTAAAAATAAGCAATTTTGAGCTATAAAGTACTGATGAGATCTCTCCTTGTGATTCATACGTACATTATGGAAGAATCTGTTTTCTGAAAAGCTTTGCTCCATTCTACCATCCTGAATTGTTTCATCTCTCACAGCTTTCATCTGTCACACAGTTTCGGGTTCTGACCAAGACCCGAAATAGCATTTTTATACTGTTTTTAATGGGAAATAGCATTAGGATATCCGAATGTTGAATAAATGCCAAAATTACTGTATGTTTATTATTTACTTCATCTACAGGAATTAATCCGAAACAAAGCAAGGAATAGTCAAAACTGTGCTTTGCTGGAGCAGGCTTATGCCATTGTGTCTGCACTCACTCAAAGAGCAGAAAACAACCTCCATGTGTCACTCATTGAGAATTATCCAGGGACCTTGGAGAGCCTTGGTGAACCCATCCGACAGGTATTTGGAATTTCTCAATCAGTGTTATTGCTATATACACCTTCAGTAATTTCTAAGTAGCCGCTGGTCCTACAGGAAGCTCTTTTACAAATTATGTCTGAACAGAGTGTTTCCTTATTGCCAATTTTTTTTTGTGTTTGTTTTTCAATGTGTGACACTTCCCTGTACATGAGAAAGCAGTGCCTACTGGTTGATTAAGTCCAGAGCTTATGGACTAATTTACACATACTGTAGTTACTTGCTTTTGCAAGCCACTTGCCAAAGAGAAGGAGATTTGTTTTGGCCTATACATGATTTTTAAACATTTTATTTATTCCCATATATATTTATTTATGTTGTAATGAAAATAAAGTTCATAAGATAAGGGTGTAATATTTTTTATCTGTTGGATAGAAAATGATGGTGAGCTACCATGGTTCCAATTATATCTAAGCAGTCTTCCTTCTTTTTCTCATCAGAGCCACTTCATTGTGTGGGAAGGAGCTCCAGGAGCCAGAATGGCATGGAAAGGACACAAAAGACATGTCTTCCTCTTCAAGAATTACGTAGTAATCTGCAAACCAAAGCGGGACACAAAAACAGACACTTACAGTTACATCTTCAAGAACATAATGAAGGTCTGTTCACTGCCTCCTTACCTAGAACATTTCTCTGTCACTGAGTATTTTTATTTTATGTCCAGCTTCTGTTCATCTAAAACTAGAACATTTCACTGATCCTTTCAAATTATGTCTTTTTTTTCTGTTAGTGTGTGAACACAATTAAACATATGTCTGTCTCCAAATCATTCTATAAATACTGCTGAAAACATGTCAGACATCATCAGAAACACAAGCAGATTTTTACTGTGCGGCAACGAGTTTACATCTAATATGTGATAATTAATTCCATGAAATTCATGTGAATTTTGGTTTGGGATGCTGCCTATATCATTTGCTCGATTTTATAGATCTTAGGTATTCACAGTGTGTAGGGTTGTTAGTAAACATTTAGAGAAAATATTTAGAATATATGCTAAATACCCATTAGCTCCTTTTTGATGGTTATGTCCTTTCATGAAAACAATTCCCGTTTCCAACTCATCTTCAGAAATTCAGGGCACAGATTAAAACTGTGAGAAATTGCACATAGTGTTTTGCTAAGTGATTAGATGCTCAACTTTGGTTAAAAATGAAAAGAAAAACAAAACAAAACCCATTGCTTTCTAAAAATACTTATCTCTATCATCACTGTCAAAAGGGACACTTTGTTCAGAGTGCAACTACTATGTAATTTCTTTTCAGATAGTGCCTAACTGTGGTGTTTCTTGGTGCTGCAATCAGACCAACAACATTGTGCTGTTGGAATATGCTTGAATTCTGGCTGTTATTTTCCTGAAATGTAATAATTACTCTCAGATGGAAAATGAGGGGATGCCTGTTTGGTAGTCAGAAAGGCAGGTATACTGGCAAAAGGGTTGCAAAGAAATTCTGATTGCTGCTCAGCCAAAGATAGTTTGCATTGCTCGTGCAGTCTCAATGTTTTAAAGGAGTTTATATTATCACTACTTCTTCTTTTGTGGTTGAAACATCTAATACGAATTTGATTGGACTTATTCATGACTGAAGTCCTCTGAAGGGAGTATATCCTGGCAGGGAGTATCTCCTTAACGAGATTTACTTGTGTTAAATAGTGTTGTTTCCATTTTAAACCTTCATTGAAGATGGTTGTGGTCCATAAGGACTAGGTCCAGGTCTGAACTTTCCTGAGCTCTGAGATTTCTGTGGGGGTAAGGTAATGGCCAAAAATCATCTCTAAGTAAAAAGAAAAAACAAAATTGGTTTTGACTATGTTATGCTTCTGCTGTTAACACAGATCAACAACATAGACCTGAATGACTCTGTGGAAGGGGACGAACGGGCATTTGAAATCTGGCATGAACGAGAAGACTCAGTCCGCAAGTACCTCCTTCAGGCACGTACAGTGAATATCAAGTATTCCTGGGTGAAGGAAATCTCCAGCATCCAGCAGCGGATCAGCCAGCCTGTCTGGAGTGAGTACACATCCATATTGTCCACATATGAGCTAAAAATTATGTCCTTTACAGGACATAATTGATTAATTTGGCTTTTAAAAATCCACAACAGATCTGGTTTTGGTGTAGAAAGAATATCAAAATAATTTTACATTGCTTTTTGAGATATGAATAAAGCATGAAATCCACTGTATACAGAGAAACAGAGCATTGATTTGGATACCAGGTGTGCCTATTGATTGAGGAATTAACAGTGACAACTGTGTGGTATCTGAATAATGGATGCACTTACTGAAAACATGGCCTAAAATACTTCGAGATCAGCAACAAATCCACAGTTTTTACATTCCATCTTTAAAACCAACAACCAACTTTTGGCAGACTCAGTTTATTCTCAGATAAGCAAGAGCAACATATCACCTTGAAAGTCATTACTCTCTAATCCTTTCTGGTTCCCATTCTGAACCTCCCAGTTCTGCAAATATTCTCCCTATTGTTGCTTTATTTTGCAATAGTCTTCTATGATATGAGCCCCCTCCTCAGGCCTGACATGCTTGTTCTGATGTTTCAGAACCTCCAAACTTTGAAGAAATGCTGGCAGACTGTACAGCTGAGCTGGGAGAGACGGTCAAACTGGCTTGCAAAGTCTCAGGAGTCCCCAAGCCATCTGTCTGCTGGTATAAAGGTATAAGCAGCAAGTCATCTCACCATACAGTGCATATTCCAAGTCTCCGTTCTGGGTATATCACTCTTTGTGAACTTGTCAGGGGACATTCTCTAGACTGATCATTGGGAGACACCTGAATTTAGCCTGAAAGAAGTTAGCTACTAAGCTGCAGTAGCGTGGACCTTCCTGTGACTTGATGTACCCTGCTTTTCAGGTTGGCAGAATGGTCCATGTGAAGCCACATCTTCTTGCAGTTAAACTTCTTGGAGATGAGTAACTTATTATAGTAGTTCAGGCCTTTATATGTGATAACGCAGGCATCTCTGAGGACAAATTTCTTTTTTTCAGCATAACTATATTGCAGAGGAAACAGCTTTGTGTTAAGTTCATACCTTGAAAAAATATGTTCTGCATGCTTCAGTCTCTCTGTAAGAGAGTTTCTTTTACTACACTTGGTAAAAATTAAGAGCTTCAATTGCACAGCACATACTTTGGGAGAGTTTCATTTTTAAAATGAGGACTGATGATGAATGAGATCCCCCCCAACAGAGCAGAGAGCGACTTGGAACAATGCTTAGTTCACTAGATGTACTGTAGAGGAGGATGAGCATTCTGGAGGAATTTGAGGAGAGGAGAAATCTGAAGGAATCTGGACAACTCTGAGGATGAGGATTCATCCTTCTGGAGGAGGATGAGCTTATTGCTCAACTACCAGCTTTAGCTGCTGGAAACAAATACAGTACTTGGACCTCTGACAAAAGACATGGATGCAATTCTAAGGAAAAAAAAAACATAAAAACATAATTGATATCCAAATCTTTACTAAGACTTTTTTTTCTTCTGTCTCTTTAAGATGGGAAGCCAGTAGAGGTGGATCCTCATCACATTATAATAGAAGATCCGGATGGTTCCTGCACACTGATCTTGGACAACCTAGCAGGCAGTGACTCGGGACAGTACATGTGCTTTGCTTCCAGTCCTGCTGGAAGTAGCAGTACCTTAGGAAAAATTCTTGTCCAAGGTAAAATCCTGCACGTCATACAGTAAACTTAAATATTAAAACATTTAATAAGTTCTATACCATAAATGCAGTATACTCCCCTCAGAAAGTTCTTTGATGGTACAGCAGTATGAATTGGTTTTAGGTGAGAAAATAGCGGTCTTTTGTGTCTTGTGTGCAGACATCATGAGAATTATCTGGTTAGGATCTCATCCCTTGTGTCTATTATGATGGTCATATTTCCACCTGTTGGCTATCTTTATCCTTCCTTTTCAGTGCCACCACGATTTGTGAACAAGGTCAGAAATGCTTATTACGTTGATGGTGAAGATGCTCAATTCACCTGCACTATTGAAGGAGAACCTAGACCACAAATCAGGTCAGTCCTTTAGGAGTCCCTTTGGAACAGATTCTCTTTTACCTTTTTCCATGCTTAGAACAGTCTCCTGCCCTGTCCTTTAAGGTTATGAAGCCTTCTTCTCTATCTTCTCCAGCTTGCCCCCATCCCAAACCTGTCTTTTTATGGTCCCAACACTCTTGATATTCTTATGCAGTCTATTCCAGCAAGTATCTGTACGGAAACAGCTACTGAAAATAGTACCTGACTGTAACAGATCTAATGCCTTTTGAATCCTTGATATTCTCTGCCCTACACTTGAATGTATTTTTTTAGCAACCAATATCTGGACTATTGCATCAAAAGCTCGGTATAACTACTCAGAACTGGGACTGTTGCTCCCTACACTGACTAATAAGATTTCTTGAGGAGTATCTCATAAATCTGAGGAGTTCAGTATCCATATGTGATCTGTCTTTAGATCTGTCAGGAATTTAAAGCCAATGTGGGATCCAGACTTTTCTCTAATGGTTAACTCCTGAGTTGTTTGCCCACTGGCCTGCTAGATGGATGAGTGTGCTGAGGTATCCTTGACATTACATATCTTTCCTAATTTACATTCTGTATTTTGTGCAGCTGGTACAAAGATGGTGAACTGCTGACAGACACTACCAAATACCAAATTTTCAATGAACCACGGAGTGGCATATTAGTTCTGCTGATTAAGAACCCTTCCAGGGAAGATATGGGATACTATGAATGTGAAGTAAGTTCAAAAACATGTAAAAATCTGTTGTCTGCCATGTCATAAATAGGAGAATTCCTTTTACTGGGAAAGATCCATTGTATGAGATTAGTGGCTGATTAATTGTTGCATGTCATGTCAGAAAAGCTCATCATGAACGTGAGGTTCTTCTGAACAGCGTCTGGACTGTGATCACCTCAAAGCTTCAGAATATTTTGATCTGTGGTTTTGGTTGTTCAGATAAGAACAACTTATTCTGGAGCTTAATGGCAGATCCAGATTTTTAATGTTACCTCTGTGCAAAGTTTAGGAACAATAAAACATTGTGTTTTGTTTCTAAACTGTTTTAAAATTAAGAACAGATTCATGCTGTTCCAAAGAAAGCATCCAAATTCAGAAGAAATAATAGATTTCAGTACATGAGAAAACCACTGGAATACATGTATTTAAAAAGTATAACTAGAAGTATCTAATAGATTAAAATAATTTAAATGTACTGTAAAAGTCTTTTATAAAATAGTCACAATTTCTGCATTCATTGTAATAAAATATGTGCAAGTTCTCAGTGCTCAGGGATAAAAACAGTTGACCGTAATGTACAAATTTACCATGTGTCAGCTAAGTGGTGGTGTAATTGACTCTTAGCTCACAGCAAATTCAGTTATTCCTGATAAATTGTTAGGCAATCAGATATAATATAATGACCTCTACTAAAAGCTGAGCAAAGCTACATTATTTTGCATTTGTCATAAGCTACAATCCCCAGAGCCCTTACTTTATTGGTTGAATAAGACCAAAGGCTAGATAAACAAATAACTCATGTTTGGCTACCATTTAAATGGCTTATGACAGAAATATGTGTCTGTTTGTAGAGATAGAGTAACGTTAGGATAGAGACACAGGCTGCAGAGCATACTGCAAGTAACTGTAGGGTAGCTGATGTGCTGTAACTTGTCTGTGCATGTGAGTCATTTGTGCTATAGCATTATACTGAATTCCACTGAGCACAATGTGTTCATTCACACCGTAGCTTAAGTTTGGGGTCACAACTTCCTCCGTTACTGCTATCTCCTAGTTGCAATGAATGTATTAGCTGCAATGTCGTATAGAAGAGCTGTATTGTACAAAACCGTGCTGCACTTTATTCAGTACTGCATGATTCTCTTTAGCTGGTGAACACGCTAGGGTCAGCAAAAAGTGGAGCAGACCTTCACCACCACAGTGCAGCAGCCCTGGCTCAGGAAAGGAGAGCAGACCAAGCCATTGGCATAGAAGGTATGAACCTTGACCAGCTCTGTAAGTATGTCAGTGAATTACTCTAAAACCACCTCATTGAGGATCAAATATATTTGCCATCTTATCCATGTTGATTGTTGGTGTACGTGTATCTGTATGTCTACGGAGAGGTGCATGGGTATGCTTCAACTTGGCTTATACCTATCACCATCTGTTGATTGCCAAACCTGGAAAATCAACAGCATCATATAATGCTCAAAAGTGCATTATATGGAGAAGAAAAAAAAAAAAAAAGAGAGAGAGAAGCAAGTGAACAGTATGTCACATTGCTGCTAATGCAAAAAAAAATTTCTCAGGTTTCTCAAGTTTCTCTTCCTGTTGAAGTACTTGAAAATGTGTGTTTTAAGGGGAAGAATATGAGTTAAGTGTTGTTGGCAAAAAAAAAAAAAAGAAAAGAAAAAAGGAGGTGTCCTGTAGGGGAAACTGCAGGTGTATCGTGACCTCTTCCTGAAATACTACTGAGCAGTACCTGAATTGCTTGAGAAAGCAGAACTAATATCTGTATGTCCTGAACAATCCTACTTCACCTGTTAGCAAGGGCTGTTGAGCATTACACCCCACATAGTCATAGGAACTATTCTTTCATTTTCCCATATTTTTTTCCAGTTGAATTGACAAGATAATGTGGACTGATCTTACATGTATCCAGTGAGGCATCTCTTTCTTAGCATTTTTACAGTGCGACTCCTTCAATTTACTTTCTTATTTAGGTGATGGTACAAGTGATATGTTGGGAACGTTCACTCCAAATCCATCACAACGGAGTTTAGGTGAGAGGCTCATCTAAGCAAGGAACATTTGTCAACATGAGGAGCTGGTTGTTGATACCAGTTAGAAGCGTGGTTGGCATGCTGGGCATGGGCACAAGCACTGTCCCTGTAGATCTTTATCAAAAAGTCACCAAACATTCAAAAGCATTGCAGGGAGAATGGTTTTAGCAAAGTAATACAATAACCATCTCGGGAGGATAAACCTGCGAGTATTTGAATGCTTTTTCCTTGCTTTAACCTAAAGATAGAAAAAGAAGTTGCACGCAGATGTGAAGGGAAATAAATTATTGTTAGGGTGTTACGTTTTGATGAAGTTTTCTTGAAAGGAGGCAGGTGATGTTGTAAAAACAAACAAGGCTTGTAAATCAGCATTAGGAGGGTTGTTCAGCTCTCAAAGTTTGAAATAGATGTGTTCAGCCCTGAATTACTCATGTGCTGTAATACCCACAGTGATATAAAAGATTTTGAGATTGATAGAAGAAGCGTAACTTGGAGATTTCCTGGAAGTTTTGGAAGTGCTGTGAGATCGTTTGCCATCGACACTGTGTTGTTGCCCAAACTTGACAAGGGGAAAGAGAATGACTCATCTCCCCAGAGGAAGAGCAAACAAGCTGGTCCAGGCCAAATGCAGCAAATGGTAGTGTTGAGTAAGATGCACACATAGAACAATTTGGTTGTTTTGAGCAATATCACATGAGGAATGAATTTGGCATAACACCCGCAAATGGAGAGGGAATTTGCTGCTTTCTAGACCAGCAAGAATTGGCCTCAAGAAATCTTGACTATTGAATGATCAGGTTCATCTGGCTGAGAAAAGGAGGACAGAAGTGGCTCGTGAAGACATTCTCTTTCCATCTTTATAATCCTGTCTATTTTTGAGAATTGGGTTATTTGTAGTTTCACCCAGAAGACAACATCACTACTGTGTGACATTCTTCCATTAGCAAATAGGAATACTGTGTCGGTTTCCTAACCCACCTGCTAGCCCTTTGTGGGTCTAAGTTTTCCCTGATTTATCGTTGGTTCTGTGAAGAGGTTACTGACGGAGCCTCTTGAAACCCCCAAGGGGCTTCAGTTCAATTATTTTAGTTTTTTGTCTCTTGCCTTTCTGTACTGTTCATTAAACTGAGCAAAACCCATGGGCACAATTTGGGATACCACTTTAGTACAGTGGTTTGCAGACTATGACCTGCAGTGAGTGACAGGATTTTCATGACCTGTCACCATAGGTCTGAAAAAAAAAACCTTCCTGTCATTAGATTTTAATCCACAGTATTAGAATTTGGGCACTCATTAGAAGAGCCAAATCCCAAAAGGATGAAAACCACTGGACTAAGGAATCCCTTTTGCGAGCAGCTGGCAGCTCAGGTGGCAAGCCTGAAACGCTGAGGTCTGCCTTCAGGTACCACGGTCGCTGCGCTGAAGTCAATGGAGAAGTGCTTTAAAAATCCACTTTTGGTGGCTATTGGAAGGACATTAGACACTTAAATAAAAGTAACTGAAAGAAGATCCATCTCTTTGACTTCAAGTTGAGTATGTGCTTTGTGACCAACCGCCTTGCTGCTTCATCTGCATCCAGTAGACCTGTCCTGATGTGGGCTGTGACTGTGGGCCGTGGCTCTGGCATCCCTTTTTAACGTATTAATGTTGTGGTTGAGTACCCCAACTTGACTAACTTGTGAAAGTCCTGCATTTCTGGAAGGTGTTCAGTTACCACCTAATCTGTGGTGTCCTCACCATGCAACGAGACAGTAGATGGTGAGGGAATGAATCGACACCACAGATGGAGATAAGCAGAAAGTTATATAGGTACCCAGAATATAGCATTTAGGGTAAGGAAACAGGGGTTTCTTCCTAGTTCTGCCTTAGTTCTCCTTGAAGAATTTGGACCAGTTAGTTACATCGTACCTCCAGTTCTTGGTAATACCCATCTTGCAGGATATGGCTAAATATTCTGACGCTTTCAAATACAACATTTTCTTAAGAGCTAGAGAGACACCATATCTCTTAGTGTTGTGCTGTTACTGAAGGAATAGGGAATATGAGTTTTTCCCCCTAACCTTTTTAAAATATTCCTGGTTGGGGTGATGATGAGGACGATTTTCTAGATTTAGGGGAGAAGGTAGAATAAAGAGTTTATATTAAGGCCTATGCCAGACAGCACCTTTAATCCATTCACATCAACAAGAACTGACTTTCCTTCCAACTTGCCCTAAATGTCTCATAACTTGTGAGTCAATGATTTCGTGCATTAACCAAAGAGGAGTCTAGTCCTGTAGAAGCACTGGCTGATCCTAATGCTTACAGCTTTTAACCTGCTTATCAGGGGCTCTTGCTTTGCAAAGCTGTTTGCTTAAAACGCTCTTGAACAAGTTGAAATGATAAATCCGGTGCAAAACCTGAAGCAGGGTGTTTTTCTCTCAAAAAAGGCAACCCAAATTCTCTCATCCTACTTTCGTGTGGTTCTGTCCTTCATATAGGTTTGCTTAGATCCTCTCTCATACCTTGGATAGTACATATAAAATTCCTGTCACACATAAAGCTGGAGGTCCTCAAGACACCTTCACTCTATTCCATTTACAGCTTTCTTATGCCCAGGGCTGTTAACTTTTGTATATTGAATCACTGTGACATTGGCTGCAGGTGGAAATACCCCAACTGATGTCATTTGCACAGACAGCAAGAATGGGCATTAATAAAGCAAGGCATACAAGAGAGTTCCTCCTGCAGACTGAGAAGACTTGCATTAAATACATATTTGATTATCAGCTAGATGTAGTTGCTATTGAAACAGCTCTCTAAAAAGAGTGGTTTCTGTACGTAATCAAATTAAGTAATGACCAATTTAAAACAGAGTTAGTTCTGTTGCTGCTTATATATTCATCTCACTGTATGATTTAATGAGATTTTCTATGTTCCGTATAAATTGCACAATACTGATTTAAAGGCTTAAATGAACTGAAAATTTCTAACATGGCTGCAATAAGTTATTTGGGTGCTCAGCTCATCTTCCATCATAGAACAATACCCATTTCATAATTAAAAAGTAATGTTTTAAAATGCTTTATAACTATGAAGTAAAGATAGGTAAAAAGGCTATATAGTACTTGAGGTAAATGAGAAATATTTGAAAACAATATCTTGTCCTTTATTTCCCTGATAAATTCTAATCCCTCAAATTATTTTGTTTAAACCTATATAATTCTGGAGTAACTTGGATGAGTCTTTTGGGATTGTTCCAGAACTGGAGCCCTTGGAAGTTAAGATCCATCTAAGTATTTTTGATTTCCAGACAGTACAGGTTAGGGCCAGTACTGAAAACATCAGTATTTACCATAAGCTCTATCAGAGAAAACGCAGATATTACAAGTTCACTCTGCAATAACTGTGATTGTATAGAAATAATGCAATAGCAATTTTGGTAAATGTTACTTTTTTGATGGCCTTAGCTGCTATCAGAGTGAGAAAGACTAGGAATAGCAAACAGATTTCTTCTTATTTGTTGTTTATTTTTGCTATTCTTTGATTAAGCTGCAGTTCACTTTCAATTGTGCCAACTAAAAAATAACTTATTTACTATATAGGGGGGTCCTGAAGGTTGCTGGAAAAATACTTGGAGATTTTTTTTCTTTTTTTAGGAACTTTACTAACTTTTAATTAAATAAAAAGCAGATCATGCTGTTGTTTTTTCCTAGATTCCAAGTAGATTCAGTTGTTCAGAATGTAATCAAAACAATCCAGTCCAAACGGTGTCCTAATTTTATGCCAGCAGCTGGGTTGGGAATCTGCTGAAAAATTTGGTGCATATTATCTTTCTTATTTTTGAAATGCTGACTTATTTTTGAAGCTGACTGCTGAGTGGGTTTAGGGCAACTCTTTTTCTAACAAGAGCTTCTCAACTTAAAGAATTTCAGCTCTCCAGGATTTTCTATAGCACTGTTCCCTAAACCATCACCCTCCCTACAGAAAAATAAAAAAAGGGCAAAACAACTTCAATCCTCCAAAGAAAAATATTAGAATCTCATGAAAGAATAAACAGTGTTTGCAATACAGATAGCCACAAAACAAAACCTCTTTGTAAATCTAAATTTTTCATTGTTGAGGCAGAACCCTGAATGCTCACTCTTGGTCAGAAACACTAAATAATAATGCTGGAAGTAACCACAGAAAGCATGGATGGGATGGTACAGGTGTTTTCTTTTCATTCAAGTTTATTCTGATTAACTAAAAAAGTTAATTTAATCATTTCAGCTTTTGCCTTATCTAACCCCATGCTGTTCATACTGTTTTCTTTGTAGTCACTGAGCAAGAGACTAAAGTGCCCAAGAAAACCATCATCATGTAAGTGCTTTTTTTTTTTTTTTTTGGGTAACTCTTGTGTTTTGCCTTGCTGCCTATGCATGTTCCAATAACAAGCTTGTGTTCATTGGCCATGCAAGTGTGTTCATTCCCATCCCACCAGATCTCATGTTATTTTGTGTTATGCAGAGTCACAACCTGAAAAATCCTACTGTCTCTTCACAATATAGTAACAGTGGTGTTGGACACAGCCTAGGCCAGGTTATTTATGATATTCTGTGAGAATAAATGATACTGAAATCTGAAGGAGTCTCATAGGAGCTCAAGAAAGGTAGAATCTATTCAGCTATTGAAAAGAGACTCTTTCTGAGCTCTACCCTCTCAAAAGATGCAACAAATATCTCATAGCTTGTGATTATTTCCTTCTGCTTACTCTTTTAAAATGTTAAGAGAAGTCTTTTTTTCTAATGCATCAGAAGGACGTTTGACAATGCTACACATTCCTACTGCAGTGTGTCTATATTTCTGATATGAGGTGCCATCCTGACAGCAATTTTTGCATACTTTCAGCCTGGTTAATGTTGGGTGCCTACAATATGAAAAACTTGATTGGAGCAAAAAGGGTATTTTCTCAGGCGTGTGTAGATCAGAAGCTAATCAGACTTTGGAATCTTACAAGATCTTTTTAAGTATCTTACCATACTTTAAAGTATCATAAATAAATATATAACAGGATGGTCTTACGTGCTAAAAAGGGGACATTGTCTTTCTGTGTTAGACCTTCAGGACACCTCTATGCAAAGCTTTACAAATCACATCCTCATAGTGGTAGGTACTTAGGCAATGATATTTTGAAGAAACACATTCCTTTGAAAGTCAAAACTAAACCTAAACTTAAGTTGTTGCTAAAACTAGTTCTCGATTTTGACACTATTCTAATACTGGACATTTTAAAAACAAAACAAAACAAAAACCTTTATTAAATGATGAGGAGGGCGTGTGAAATGACAGCTGAGATATGCTTAAGCAGCAGCTCTGCCTTTCAGATCTTACTATTTTTATGATAAATATTAGTTATGGCCCATGTTCTTTGCCCATTTTGAGCTAATGGTCTCTAAGAGCACATGTCCCTCCTCCTAGTAGTCCCAAAAGAGGTTATTAAATTAACGAGTCAATAGAATCAATAGAAATGCACCTCCTTTTGCTATGGGGTCATCAACTCAGCAGAGCTGACCTTTGCCTGAAGCGGGATAGTGGAGTGTGAAAGGGCACATTCCAGCCCTCCTTCAAATGATGCAAACCGAGCAACAGAAGCGTCTCTGAAACTTTACCAGCAGAGTCTAAATCACTAATTGAGAGACAGGGTTGACCAAAGTCTGGATATGCAAATCCCAGAACTTAGAAAGAAATAACACAGAGAAATGCATTTTAACCTTACAATGTAAAGCAAAGTCTTTAGTGCAGCTGCATTTTCATCTTTTTCAGCAGTGATTTACTCTCATGTAATTGAACATAGCATCATGGTAGTTATAAAGGTTGCAAAAAATCTACAAGCTTTAGAGCTCTATAGCAATGTTAGACAGCAGACAAGCCCAGCATGAGGTGGAGGAGCAGAAAAACATGAAGATAAGACTGAAGCAGTAGTAGTTCTGGCAAAGGGATGCTCTGGAATAAAGATAATTTCACTATAGATGGTCCAGTCCTGGACTTTACAGCCTCCCCAAAGGTGAATGGCTTCATAAAGAGAAGAAATCTGGTCTCCATAGGAGAAAACAGTACCAGCTTAGGTCTAGGCTCCAAAGATGAGCATGATAAATGAGAAAGATTATAAGATCTCTAGGAGAATTTGTCTTCCAGCCTGGTTAGACAATGGCAACAGGACAAGGTCTTTTTTCACCCTGCCCTGTACATCTGCTCTAGAGCCAAAGCAAAGATGGTTGGACAGCAGAGCTCTTGACTTTCAGTGGCAGAGTGGTCAGATGACAGGATTAGGATGATGTGGACTCAAGAGAGAAAGGAAGGAATGAAAAGATTCATAAACATTCCTTCTTGATTCAAGCCATTGTCTTTTTATCCTTTAGTTACTCCGCAGAAGCGATTACCTCTGCTGTGGAACATCTGCTTCTGCATACCTCCAAAACAAATATAATCTTTCCCTTTGAATTTTTCCATAAAGAAAAAGAAAAATCTGTAGGAAATTCTGTCTTAAACACAGGAATTAGGAATAATTCCTAAATAAATTAGGAATTAGGAATAGGAATTAGGAATAGATAAATCTGAGCTTAGGCAGTCCTGTCCCCAAATCTGTAGCTTATTTAAAGTCCCAGCTTGTCCTAGGATGGGAGTAGAAGAAAGGATGCTGAGAAATCCTAACTGCTTTGGATATCCCCCAAAATCTAAAGTAAGACCAACAGAATTATTCTGAGATATAGTTATCATACATATCAGACCAATCTGGTACTCCTGTATCAATTGTTGGTAGCAGGATCAGGCTGTGTCTGCAATAACGGTAATAATGGCAAGTAAAAATACATTTTGGCATGGATGACTTCTGTGGGAAAATGTTCTAACTCTTTTCCTGGCTTCCACAAATGCTTAATGCCCTTGTAATATAACCATTCTGCGTGTGAAAATGCAGACCTCTGCTTCTCAGAAACACAGCTAATACTTCCTCTCAAAATAGTGGCTTTCATCAGTAAAATAGAAACATAGATAGGTATATAAAAAGGGGATGTTACTGACTCTTCTGAAATAAAGGACATTTTGTCATTAAGTTTTATCAAACTGAGGCTTTAGCCAAGGAGACTCGGGAATACTCCTTGAGTGCTAAAGATATTTGGGTGCACTGCTGTATTGATCTGCAATAGCACAGCAGGTGGTCAACACAAGCAAATGATATATAGCAGCACCCAGAAGAATATGTCTCAGCTGGACTTACTAATGGTCACTCAAGGAGACTACCGGTGCTTGGATCCAGGGAGGGGAATGACTTTAAGGTTTTGCTTGATTCAGAAAGTAAGCTGGAGATGGGCATGTGGGCGTGCGTGTGTGTGTATCCTTTCCAAAATGACACGCTCATCACAAAAAAGCTGAGGTGCTTACAAAACTAACACCACTGTCGTGCCTTGATCAGCCATGGCATGTGCTGACATGGAGTGTGGCTCCCAGAAAAAGTCTTGCCTTCCTGCCAACTCCATTTCAACCATTTCTGTCATCAGCGAGGAAACTATAACCACTGTGGTGAAGAGCCCAAGACAAAAGGGAAGGGTTTCTCCTGCACGTCCTGCTTCAGGTTATTCGCCGTCCCGCTCCCCAAGAGCAGAGCCAGTTCCAGAACCAGTTTATGTTTCAAAGCTTAGGCAGCCGGTCCACAGACGTGAGCAGGAGGCCACGCTCAAGTCTGCTGTTCCCATGCTTTTTGTAACCGAACCAGAGGACAGGCAAGGAGCAGCAGCCGGAGATATCATCGTAGAGACCACAGTGGAAGAGCAAAAGCCCAAGTGGGTTGAAGTTGAAGAAATAATTGAATTCAAGGTGAAGAAATCCCCAAAGCCAATGAGGAAAAGAGGATCTTCCCCAGCAAAACAGGAGAAAGATGACTCAGGGGTGCTAACATTCACTTTTCCCAGCTCTAGGCCTAGGCGTTCCCCAGAAGATGATCCAAACACCAACAACTCCAACAATAAGTTAGTGGAACAGTCAAAGTCTTCTTTACCACAAGACAATCTGTCTGATGTTGACATCCAGCCCCTGGCATACGCAACTGCTCAGGAAGGACCTCCAGTCAGCAGCGAGGACAGGAGTTCTCCATGTGGATCTGAACAGCTAGGAAGCAATTCATTTCTTGATTATGGAACAGAAGGCAAGGGCTACACACAGGAAACAAGTGCTAGCTATGTCTCAGAGGCCACTTCCCCACTGCTTGCATGTGGGGGTGAGCCCTTGGTCTTCAGTTTTGAGACAGGTGTTGTAGACGAGCCTGAACTTCTATTCTCACCAGTAAGCCCGGAGGTTAAAGAAGAGGCAGATGAATTAGACATATCTTGGCCTGCTGGAGAAGAGATACCAGAAGTAGTGCAAGATGTTCTTCCAGAAGAGGATAATGTTGTAATAGTTGATGAGCCAGAGGAACAGGATGACATTAGCACTCGGGACCGCAAAATCCTAACCCATAATGGAAAAGTACTAACTTTGGAGGATCTTGAAGATTATGTTCCCGAAGAAGGTGAGACCTACGGGTGTGATGATCAGAGCCATACAGCTGAAAAACCCTGCGAGATCTCAGTGCTCCAGACAGAGATTAATGAGCCAACGATTGGAAAGCCAGTTCTCCTGAACCTGGGGAGGCACGTTGTTTCCAAGCCAAGGCAGAGATTTTTCAGCAAGTTTGAGGAGCACGTTCCAGGAAGCGTGTTTGTGTCAGCCTCTAGAGTAACTGGCGTGCAGTCTGTAGGACCCTCAAACATCTCTTTCCACGTCAGTGATACCTGCATGGCCGCGGCGCCTGGAGTGCATGCATCAACAGCATCTGCTGCTCCCTCCTTCACAGTGAAGCCGTCATTCTGCACTGAAGTCCAGCTCTCAGCAGACAATGGGCAGTCAAGTTTTAAAACTGAAGTTTCCACAAGAACCCTCAGCTATGGGACAGTTGGTGAGCCTGTAACGTTGCATATCAGCACAGAGGACCTTTCCCAAAGCTGAGCAGATACAAGCGTAATTGTCAGTGCCAAAGAAAACAGTATTAAAAAAGAAAAAGAAACATTCTAGGTGAACGGAATTGGTGGTGAGGATTGCAAGGAATCATGTGCAAGGGAATACCTTTGAGAAAATGTATTTAAATGTGCAGAGCTTTTCCAGTCTTAAAGGGAACATGTGTGTCAGATCAGTTGATAATTTTAAAAGCTTTGGTCAAGGTGAACAAATATCATTCCATAGTGGAATAGTGATGGTAGGTTTAGAAAAAGCCTGATTCTCCTACCTGTGATGAAAATATAAATGACATTTTTGCCATGAACATGATTTAAAGTGCTAATTTATAAATTATGGTGTAGCAAGAAGGTGAAAGTATCTAAGCTTTTCAATATCCTTCAGCAGCCAGGATGGGTGCAAGGCTTTCATGTAAAGCATTCTCCCACCACTATAAATGCCAGAAGGTCATGCAACTTCACATGGCTTTGACTCTACTATGTACTTTTGACACCAATTAGCTCTACAAAAAAATCCTATATAAACCTTTCAACATGCACAGTCTGGTTAAAATTGTTCTGAACTTTTACTTCAGAATTAAACATATAGAAAGTACTGTATTTGCTAGGAATGTAAAAGGTCACTTAAGCCTTTTGGTTGAAATCCTGCCTTGACTGAAGTCAATGGCCAAAGTCCCACAGACTTGAGGAAGGCAAGGATTTCACTATTCTCTTCAACCCAAGTTAAAAAAGACCATCTTTTTAAAATTACTGTTTTCAAGTCCACTTCCTAGTTGTCTAAAGACATAAGTTTCATTATTCTGCATTCAAGCATTGTGAATTTATTAACCAATAAGCCAATTTATTAACTTACCAGATATGGACTTGCCTAATGTGTACCAAAAGGGTAAAAGACAGCAGAAGATGCCTACTGCATCTATAATCAGAAGCTATTAAATATAAAGAATGACAAAAGTGGTCTTTGTGATGAAATATTAGAAAGATAAACTACAATATTTGTTCATTTGATCTCCTGTACATGCCAGGGGTTAAATGTTGCTATTGATATGTTGATGGTTAATGTCTGCTAAATTTGCTAAAAGGAATTTGCCATTGAGCTACAGCAAAATACAGGAACGCAAAGACAATTTACAAAAAAAAAAAAAAAAGAAAGAAAGAAAGAGAGCTTTTACTACAAATATCTGGTTGAAAATGATACCTGATTATAATGTTATAATGAACTGGGCTGCTTTGAAGCACTGTCAGTTCCAATTGCATCATATTACCATGTAGCCATGTATATTTAGATGTGCTGTAGACGCCACGTTGGCTTGAGTTGCCCTGGAGCTTTGCCTAGGAATAGGCAAAGGAAGTTTAGTCTAGGAATATGGTTAAGAATGTGGTTCTTCAAAGGACCGAATGCCACGTAGATGTACTGAGCATGGCCCATTCCTGTTGGCTTCACCAAAAATGGATATTGTGTAGACCTCCCAAAAGTCCCTCAGTTCTGGAAAGTAACAGGCTCATGGGCCCTAATATTGGCCCAGCCAAATATTAGTTAAAGTCAGCTGGAGTTTGTCCTTGCTCTCAACAGGACCAAGCACTGACCCTGTCTGTCTGACAGAGGTATGAGGCAAGAAGTCCAACACCTTTTCCCAGCTGAGTTGTGTGCAGCAAATATATTCTTTGGATGGTACAGGGAAACCACAAATGCTCAGAGATGGATGAATTTGTAACTGAATTGGTGGGGACTAAGTCTTTGCCTTGGAAATGCTGGTGTATAATGGTCTGTCTCATGGTTTTCCAACAAGGTAATACCGTGAAACTTGTTCTAGAGTACTCCAGGTGATATTCCCACTAAGAGGGATTCAATTTAAGAAAGGTGCTTGTAGAAAAGAATAGTTTTCTTTTTTAATTATTATTATTTTCTCTCCTGTGTCTGTATCTTGATTGTGACTGAAATGAATGCATTAATTTGGCAGCCTTTTTCATTGCAGTATCTGGACAGAATATTATGTGTAATAACATGTGCACTATCCTCATGATATACAACACATTTCCAGTGACTACAAGTGGTGAAGGAAATCAAGCCTCTGTAGTCTTATTCTCCTGTTTTTGAAAAAACAACTCTTTTATTACACTGTTCATTTTATAATCAAACAATACAATGTAGATGTATTAATTTTTTTTTTTTTTTTTTTGGATATTGCACTGTATATTGGAAAATAGCAGGCATACAACATGGAAATCCTTTTAAAATGGATAGAAAATTTCTTTCTTACTGGAACTGATTCTGATCTCGGGTTTTTTCCAGTATCAATCCTGAATAATTCCATGGGACTAAGTGGAATTGATTCAGTTTTACATAGATGCTGCTGAGAAAAGAATCTATCCTGTCATAGCCTTTAAAAATAGAATATTCATTCATAAGGCAGATCCAGATGTAAAAAGTAATGTGGAGGTTTCCTCCTGATCTGGTTGATGCTCATTTTGTTTTTTAAACAAACCTGAAAGTTGTCATTGAGATGATCGTGGAAGAAATAACTGTATTTCAGTTCATTAGTCTGAAGAAATTAACACCTGTTTACATTTTCTTTTGAAATATAAGCAAAAGAGAATTAATTGAAAGGAATTTTTTAAATCCTAAGTAAGACTGCTCAGAAACTTGAAAGGTTTATGAAAAGTCTGTTATATTTATTTTCAAAATATTTTCCTAGTGGTTAATACTTATGCTTGTAAGTGATTAAACTGTGTAGATAACTAATGAGATGTGTGAGGATTTATTTTGTGTAGCTGAAAACATACATTACATGAAAACATACAAGGTACAATAAAAAATTTAATACAAAGAATGTTTTATTATAATTCCTTCAGGAAGATTAAATTAATTCCTGCAGGATAATAAGAATTAAAAAAAAAAAAAAAAACAGAAAAAAAAAGAAAAGAGAACCTCAGTAGTCTTGAGCTACAAAACAAGAGGGTAAAAAAAAATCAATTGTAAGATATGTTAGATGCTGAATTGATACCAATAAATGTTTTGCATTAGCTGTTACTTAATTTGCTGGGTTTCTGTGTTTTTGTTCATTCACGGTGCTCTACCAGCTAGTCCACTTCTGCCATTGACTTCAGCAGGAGCTAGTTTGTGAGAACATGAGAGCCCTTCATTTAGTTGGGCCCTACCTGCAGTTTTTAGGGACAGTTCCATAAGTGTTGAAGCAGAAGAAACTGTTTTTTCAGGGTAGTTCACCCTCAGATGTCAAGTTGGATAACTTTGATCAGTGCTCAACCCCTTGCATGCTTCTTCATGGCTGAACCGAAACTTCAAACTATGTGTCCGTGTCGTGTTGCTGGTTTGGGGCCTGGGAGAGACAGGGGAGACAAGTTCCCAAATAACATTCTGGAACAGGAAAATACCTGTCCATCACACCGCGGCATTAGTTTGACTTCACCTATATTCAAACTCCTCATTTTGGTAGCATGATTCTTTTTGCCATCGCTAAGATGAAAGGGGTTGGATTAACATAAGGGGAAGCTCTGGCTCCTGCGGTAGCTCATAGGCCATAAATGTTGGATAACCTCTGCCTCATCAGTTCTCTTAAGCTGAACTTAAAGCACCACTAGTTTGACCTAAAGGTGCACGCGTGTGATGCAGTGTTGACTTTGACCAAAGCTGTGTTTGCCCCATAGCCACCACAGTTGTTAACAGCTGTCAAAGACATCCCACTGGCTCACGTATATTTCATATAAAACATTTTTGCCCCGTTTTGATTGTGTTGTACCTATTTGCCTAGGGGACAAAGAGGAAGTATATCCATATGCAAAAGCATTTAATTGACTTGACCATAATTTCATAATTAAATTAATCCTAATTAAATTGAAATATACTTTCTCCCTGAGATATTGAGTGCTTCCTTTATTTCCAAGTAGTTCATTTATTAGCAACTGCCTAGCTCATAGGACAGCAGCAACTCACAGCAGGAGCATCAAGGAACCACAAGATTTATCTAGAGAAATATTTAAGCATCTTCCATCCAAGATCTGTGCTGATGAACAATGATAGGTTGGTGGGACATTGAGGCCCAGAACTGAAATCTTGCTCATGGGGAAGATAACAAAAGCAAAAAATCCAATGAGATGTCTGCCTGATGCAAATGCAGAGTTTTACTTTCCCCTGCTGAGGTCTGTAATGAGAATTCATTTTTCTCAAGGATTGGAACTGAATCAAAATAGGACTTTCCTCAGTGTAAATAACATCACACAAGTCAGGGCCAAACCTAAAATCAGGTAAAGGCTGTGGGAATCAAGCCTGTTTCTGCAGCAGAATTTCTTTTGTTTCTCCATTTTCAACTTGTATTTCCTCTGACAAACTTGCCAAAGAACATCTGACTTTTCATCTTTATTAAAAAATCCCAACTTCAAGAAAAATGTCTGAGCTTCTCATACGATAAGGATGGACAGACACTAGGGGAAAAAAAAAAAGCAAGGAGAAGCATTTGTTTTCTGAGATAGTTCTGTGTAAGTTTGGACTTGGCAGGGTAGTCGTCATGGCTATTTGCCACTAATTATCATTTCTCCTAACAGCTAGAAACTCACTTTATGGGTATTTTGGTGGATATTTTGCAAGATGGGAATCACATTTCCTCATTTTTATGCAAGTGTCCTTATGTTTTCTGTTGACATGGTCCCAGGAGCTCTCTTTGCATGTTGGCTCAAAAGACTCTAGAGCTGGGCTTGTGGAGCTTGCCAAAAATGCAACCAGAATGCTTTTTCTACAAACCACAGGGAGTTTTTCTTTCTTATTTCTATGAAAAATGTCTTTTAAATACTAAAACTTTAGGCACTAAAACAAAGTATTTTAAAATGAAGCTTTTTAGCCAGTTCTGTCAAAATATGGTTTGAGTTGTCCCTCTTTCTCCACAAGCCACCTCAGGGACATGATAAGAAGTCGTAATCTGGCACAGATTTTGCCTGTCTTAATGCGTATTTGAGCATATTGCTAGATCTCTGTCTTCCTTTGTTGCAGCTTGTCAAGATTAGTAGAAAGTCTTGGACAGGAGATTGGACTAGATTATCTCTTGAGGTCCCTCTCAATCTGAATTATCCTATTCTATCCTAATCCCCTCTGTATTCTTCTGACAGTTCTGGTTGGGAATGAAACCATGGTATTTGTTCATGGAGTAGATGTTCTGGAAAGATAGGGTCCCAGCTGCTGGGTTTTCAGCATCAGCTCCCTGCTCTAGGCATGAGGGCAAAACTGCAAATGTTTCCTCTGGTTGTGATGGATGGGATAATGTGATCTGTTCCGTTTGCTTTGGAGAGAGAAAAGCTGTTCTTCTTGTCTGTAGGAGAGACTTCTCTGCAGTCAGAGATGGAAACTTCTGTCCAGGCCTCGCTTGAACGCGCTGATAAGGAGATCAAGACGGCTCTGAGGAAACTTGTGGATTCAGCATCGCTGCTTGTGACTCTTCCAGGAGGAGCAAGACGGGGAGCTGGTGGTCTCGGTCTTCCTGAGTCCGTGCCTTCTGCCTGCCAAGAAACAGGAACTGCTCCTCCTCTGATAGTTCACAAAGCCAGTACCCAAACCAAAACTACTGCAGGGCGTGGTAGGTCTGGAATTAAATTGGAAAATCCTTCATGGAAGGAAAGTCACGAGAGACAAAATGCTAAACTCACTAGTATTCTTTTCTCTAGTTTTTATTTGTTTCTTTGTATTCTGAAGCTGTAGGTTAAGAGAGAGCCTTCAGACATGACAACACTTGGGGCTGTGGGCTGGGGTTAGGCTGGGCAGAAGCTCTGCCTTGTATCTAAGCAGTTTTTAGTTTGACATCTCTCTGCAGTGGGATAGAGGATTTCTCCAATTCTGGAATTTTTAACCTGGACATGTTTAAATATTTTAAGAGTATTTTTTTCCTATTTCATTTTCTGAAGTTATTTAGTTTGGGATTTGCTGAGATAGGGGAAGGATGGTTGAAGTTTTCTTTCTCTTTATTTTATTATTTATTTTATTTATTTACTTATTATTAGCTATTAGCAAGCTAGAAATTTGCTTAACACCCCCTTATCAGCTGCCATGAATTTTCTAAGATCTTGGACATAACAACTTCACTTGCACTTCACTAGCCCTGAAGATTTAATAGATTACTCAGCAGTTGCCATGTGATTAAAACCAATACTGTGTGTGATTATGACTTGCTAGGAGAGTCTGGGTTTCATGTCTGTGTCGCTTTTAAAAATAATAACTTGTCTGAATGCTAGCTGTTAATGTCAATTCAGAATAACTGTCTTTAAACCAGTGTGACTTAGAAAGAACAGTGTCAAGTAGCTTTCATTCTACAGTGTCCAGATGCTGATTAAAAAGTGGAATATTTTTGTCTAAAAAGGAAGAGAGATTTCATGGAATCAGACCCAGAAATACCACATGAAAAAATGAATAGGCCTCTTTACTTTTTTAGTGGAAAATTATCCATGAAAATAACTCTCTGATAAAGCAGAGTGAAACAAAAACCATCAGAAACAGAAAGCCAACTAGGACAAGTTATTAACTTAGCTAATACCTGAATGGAGCAGTTTTTCAATCCTTTCACTTGAAATTGTTATTATCATGAGGATTTTTTTTAATAAAGCGGAGACTTGACAACTGTCCTTTACTACACACTTTGTTTAAAAAGAGGCAAATATTTCTATAGAACAAGCTATAGGAAAACACAAGCTTATTTCCCACCACCCACTTGTGTTCTCTGATCCTACCAGGAATGCTGTGAATAACCATGTTTTCCGTACTCGTAGAGCTATTCTGGAAGTTGCTGCTTCTTTAACATTTCCCTTTCAGTCATTATGATTCTTATTGTGTCCCTGCTGGTTGCCTTTTCTATTTGTGTCTCTTAGTGTTCCCTCAAAAACAAGTTGGTTTTGCCCAGTCACCGGTGTTGCACCATTCAGTCTCTCAGATGTTCAAGCCTTTTTCTGCATGTTGTCTTCTCAAAACAACTAAGTTCTACTCCTAGCTCCAGTGATCACGCTTATCTCAAATCAGATAAGGTCTTTTAGACATAAGGTAGAGTGGAGATGGTCTCCAAAGACTTGCTCTGGTTTCAGGTGTGCCTTCGTCACTGACATGTCCATCTTGCCTTATTTTTGCTGCCAGACAAAGCACAAAGCCAAATTCCAGATGAAGAACCAAGTGCAACAAAACCCAGGCCTGGTCCTTCTCCCAGAGATACGGCCGCTGGAGCGGAGAGGACTCAGGAACGCACAGTTCCCATCAGCAGGTAAATACAAATCCTGCACACATATTTCTGAACATGCTAGACTGTGTTGTAAGCGAAACAAGTAGTAGATAAGGAAGTAGGTGGTGACTCAAGCTGATTCTTTTGTGTTTAGTATAATCCTTTGACTCCTGTAAAATTTGGTAGCATGTATGAAGGATGGATAAAGTTGGGGAAAAAATAATTCCCCAAAGAAAATCTTCTTGTATTAAATTTAAGCAAATAATGATTAAATTGAGAGTCTAATCCTATATGTCTGTAGTTGTATGTGACTGTGTAATGATATTTACTCTTGATCTTCATGAAAGAACATCACCAGTCACAGGGGCAGGAGACTGGTACAGAAGAGAAGGAGATGTGATCTGGGATGTGCACAGTGAAGTTTATATTGAGACCACGGAAAGAACTTGTGTGTATAAGACAGAGGAGAAGACTCCAACAAGTAAGGAAAAACCTTGTTTCTCTCCTCCCATCCCATGATTGCCCCGTTGTCTTCTCCTTTGTTGATATCTTTCGATGTCTGTTTTCTGAAGTACTTGTCTTTCTTGAGCAGTAAGAATTATTAAACTAATAATAGCACATAAGCCAGAAAACAGGAGAGCTAAAGGTAATTCCAGTGAAAATAAATTTAAATATGATCTGTGATATCTCTTGATTTAAATGATCACATCCTAAATGATCCATCCTGGAAATCACATTTGAATAACTTGTCTTTCATTAGCAGACCGTGAACAAAGTTACAATATTGTGATGGCCACAAAACCTTATGTCTCACCAGGTGCGCCCTACATGCAAGTGACAATAGAAGATGTGCAGGTGAATTCAGGGCAGTGTGCTAAATTTCAGGCAGTGATTGAAGGAAACCCTCAGCCTACTGTTTTGTGGTTTAAGGTAAGTGAAAATATTTCCCTGACAGGGAATAAGGACCACAGACAAACTTATAGAGCAGGATATTTGTAGGGAATTTCTTTTATTCTTTCATCCTGTGCCTTTCATACTGAGTCAGGGTCAGTGTCTGTAGATTGTGATAGAGAGTTTCCAAATCTGCTGCAGTTTTCTCTGGAACCAGCAAATACCTATTGAGTGTTAGAGATATTTTTTCAAGTTTCTCTTTCATATTTTCATGGACTAGTTGAGATTTGAAGGAACCTCTGAAGATTGTCTAGTCCAAGGCCACTTCTCAAGAGCTAGAGCAGATTACATAGGACTCTATCAAGCTGGGTTTAGAATCCATGCTCTTCAAGGATGGAGACTCCAAAACTTCTGTGGGCAGTCTGCTCCAATGCTGAACTACTCCCACAGTTAAAAAATGTTCAATTAAAAAATATTTCTTCATGTCCAGACAAAATTTCCTGTGTTAAAAGTCCCTTTTCATGAGAGGACAACGTAGGAACAGCTGTACTCATTCATCACAACCACTCATCTTGACCTGTGTTGTCTCCAGTGTCACTGTAGCCCCTTCAGTGGGGAAGATATTTACGGGCAGAAAGTGGATAGGTGCCACCAAGATGCCTGAGAGTTGCCAAGATGTTTGCTGTAGTTCTGAGGTCAGGAATTAGGGTCAAATTTTCTTCCAGTGTAATAAGGTTCAGCTCAGAGACGAAATTTCCATGTGGGAAAATAATGTAGTTTCACTTCATCTGTTTTCAATTTCATCAGGAATTTTATTGCCCAGTCAGGCAATCTAACAGGATCCTTCTGCAAATCATCATAATCTGCTCCATAAATTGTGTCGATCCACATCTTCCTACCACCAAGTCTCCTATCAGGTCACAAATGACTGTTCTAAGCAGCACAAGTGCCAGCACAAGCTGGAGACCAGGCAGGAGTTAAGTAGATGTTCTCTGTGCTCCCATGAACTGGCAGAACTGTAGGGTAAAGCACATAGCCCCGAAGGTCTCCCCTATGCCTTTTCCCTTATGAATGGGATGTTAAACAAAACTGATAATAAACAACCTCAAAGCTGAACATCACTTAGCTGCAGGGGACTTCTTCAGTCAGCATTTTATTAGTGAGATTTACTAGCTTAAATACTTAAAAGGTTTGTATTTTAGGCCCATTGGTGTATCTCATGCTATAAAGATGGACAACATTTATTTCTGTCTTGATTTTCAGTGCCAAAATGCCATTTTTTTTTCTCTCTCAGGGCACTTCCTTGTTGACAGACAGCCACAGGATCCATCAAGTGAAGGAAGGAACAACATATTGCTTAATCCTGGACAATGTTGTCTCAGAAGACGGTGGTGTTTATACCTGTGTTGCCAAAAATGCCGGGGGGGAGGTTTTGTGCAAAGCAGAGCTTATTGTACATGAAGGTAACTTAATCCTTTCAGTTTCTTGAGATGCTTTCAACACCATTGCAAAATAGTTTTTGTCTCAGTCTTTTTCTGGTACCCATACGGTGTATACCCTGTATTTCTGCTTGGCATTTGCATGGTACCAGCATGGTAGGATCCAGGATCATGGTTTAATGAACTACATCTTTGAAGAAATAAGCTGTTTTTTTTGTTTGGTTGATTGTTTTTTTGAGATGACATGATGAATTGATACAATGGACCACAGAGGTAAGGGCCATACTTCTGGTATTTCACTCTTTCTCCTGGCTCTTCTGATTTATGTCGGATTAAGTTACAGCCTCCAAAAAGTCCATGTTGGCAGACTCCCTCATCAAACAGCTGCACTTAATTGTGTCCCAAAGCCTAGAGAAGGATGCTGATGATTTTCCATGCTTAATGTTGTCTGAGAGTTTTGCACATTCTTTGCAAGGCATTATAATCTGTTTATTAATCCTTTTTTTTTTTCTGTTGCCAAAGTTAAGAAAGACCAAGCAGCAAAGAAAGTGGCGACCAGAAGAAAACTCCATTCTCTCTATGAAGTTAAGCAGGAGATTGGAAGGTAAATTAATTTCCCAGCTTTAGAACAGGCTTACAGGGGAGTATCTAACTTCTCATCTGAGCTACTGCTTCGATATAGAGCAAGTTGTTGTCTAAAGAGTCTGAAAATTGGGAGCATCCATTTCTGCCTTCTGAGGAGTGTTGGAAAGAGTGCTGATGCTATCTAGGCAAAGTGATGCCCAAAGTGTACCCAGGGAAGGATGCTCAAGATGTGAACCTTGAGAAATTAGGGCAACCAGGATGATTAAGGGAATGGAACATCTCTCGTATGAAGAGAGGCTGAGCGAGCTGGGCCTTTTTTCTCTGGAGAAGAGACGGCTCAGAGGGGATATGATTAATATGTATAAGTTCAGGAAGGGAGAATGCAGGGAGGAAGGGGACAGGCTGTTCTCACTGGTGGCCAGCGATAGGACGAGGGGTAATGGCCACAAGCTGAAACACAAGAAGTTCCATCTCCAGGTGAGGAGGAACTTCTTTACTGTTAGGGTGACAGAGCAGTGGAACAGGCTGCCCAGGGAGGTTGTGGAGTCTCCTTCTCTGGAGGTCTTCAAAACCCGCCTGGATGCCACCCTGTGCCACATGCTCTAGGTGTGCCTGCTTGAGCAGGAAGGTTGGACTAGATGATCTGTAGAGGTCCCTTCCAACCTTAAATATTCTGAAATATTCTGAAAATCTCACAGAGAAAACCCAGCAGCCTCCTCCTAGTACCTGCATTTGCCTAGTGGGACAGCAGCACCGTGATAGATACCTGGTGGCCCACACAGATGAGGCCAATGTGTGACAATTCCTCTAATTTCCAGCTTCTCCTGGAACTAAAAACAGCAGCACCTGACAAGATAGCTCCTGTACTCAGGGAAAACCCTGCGACCAGCAGGTTGCATTATCTTCTGGCTGTGGTGGGGACACAGTTGAAACCCTCAGGTGATATTAGCATCAGAGCTCCATAGAGATGTACATGCAAGCCCCATGGCATGCAAGCCTCACTTCCATATAAAATATTGATCAAGCAAGCCTGTATCACCTGGAGCAGCCTTTTCTCTCCAGCCAGGAGAGGGCAATGTCACCTCTCACACAGAAGGATCAGCTTGTTATGTTGGAGAGTTTAAGACCTGAACAGTAGGCTGGGACTTGGAAAGGTCTGCAGCTGCTGGGTAAGGGCTTTGAATCAAGTCTGAACAGGACTTACCCTTTAATTTTACACAGAGGCTGCTTCAGCTTCGTGAAACGAGTTGTGCATAAAGGGAACAGAGTGTCCTGTGCTGCCAAATTCATACCTCTGCGAAGCAAAACGAAGGCTCGAGCACATCAGGAGAGGGATATTCTGGCCCCTCTGTCCCATGACAGAATCACCAGGCTGCTGGACCAGTTTGAAACACGGAAAACCCTGATTTTGATCCTGGAGTTGTATCCTTTTACGTGCTTGTTCGCTGCAGAGGTTGGGAAGTACTAGGCAGACCTCACTGATGAATAACAGAACAAACAGAACACAAATAAGGATTTACCTGTAGCTGCGTTTTCCCTTAATGCCATTGCAAGGTGCTCCAGCGAAACGCTCCTCGACCGTTTGTTCAAGAAGAATGTTGTCACTGAAGCAGAGGTAATTGTCTCTCATTTCAAAGTCCAGAATTGGTGGATACCACCTTGCTTCTCCTTCAGCAAAAAAAAAGAAGGAACTTTTACTGCATTTTTTTATGACTTTACTTGTGTTTGGTCCCTTACAGTCTCCAAACCAAGGGCTGAGATGATGGTTTCTAAAGTTTTTAAAGATTCTGTATGCTCAAAGAGCAAAAGGCTTCCCATCACCCAAGGTGTCATAGCCATCTCTCCCATAGCTAATGCTAAAACTGATTTTTCTCAGAAATACTCTGAGAAAATGTCACTAGGCACAGTTTCATTCAGTATGGTAATACATGGTTCACATTTTATTTCACCTACAAGGGCTAATGTAAGAAGTTCATCTCTTTTTTTTTGAAATTATTTCTAGTTCAACCTCTGCTTCCTCATACATATAAAAGATGGCTGGAATCAGGAACCTTCTTCAATTTGAATTGTTTAATGATTCATTTTTGAATAATTGATTTCATTTTTAGGTCAAGCTGTATATCAAACAAATTTTGGAAGGAATCAAGTATCTTCATGACAACAACATCCTTCATTTGGACATTAAGGTAATGTGCAATGGCAGGGCACCTGTTGGTCAGAGAATGGGTGTTCCTTATTTGAATTATGTTTATTTGCAAACTAAAATATTGCTCTTTCCTAACAACAACAACCACAAAGAAGAACCTTTTTGTTTTATCTCTTAGCCTCTAAATATCCTCATGGTTTATCCTGAAAGGGAAGACCTCAAGATCTGTGACTTTGGATTTGCTCAGAAGATCACTCCATATCAGTGTCAGTTCAGCAAATATGGGTCTCCAGAGTTTGTTGCCCCAGAAATTGTCTCCCAGTCACCAGTGTCAAAAGCAACTGATATTTGGTAACTGGCATCTTTGAAAGTACAATTAGTAGTAAATAGCATGAATTTGGTGCCTCCAGATTAATATAGATGTTTCCTTAGGAATATGTAATTCATCCTTAGGGTAATTTACTGAAGTGGTAAATTCTTCTCTGTGTGGTACAGAGAGTCTGTTGTTCAGAAATGTTTCTATTGATCATATCTGTAATGTTTGCAATATACCGTTTTCTTACAAGTATAAAAATGGCATTAATGATTTCATAATGCTGTAGGTTGGTAAAGCTGCTGCAATTAATAAAGCAGTCCCCATTAATAATTTCTTACATAAATAGATTAATGGAAGTAAAACTTGTGGCTGAAAGTGGACATTGAGAATCCAAGTTACATCAAGGCACTTCAGAGATTCTTCTATTTGGTTTGGTCAACCATTATTGAACTCAGCTAATTAATTACAGTTAACTAATACAAAGGAGCATTTTAGAGAAGTTGATCTTTGTTACAGAGGCATCAACTAGAGAGGATGTTCCTAAGAAGGTTAAAAAATAAATTATTTAAAAAAGCAAACTCCAAAATACATTTCATGCATTTCAAGTTTTCTGTGTATACTTTATAAAGCGAGGAATGCTGAAGACCAATTTTTAAAAATGTTCTGATCATAATCAAATGTTTAATGCTACATAGCTTTAATTTCAGCGAAAGAGAAAAGAAAAGCAGTAGCTTGGGGGATTTATTTTCCCTTGAGAGGTGAGCAAGTGGCAGGAAAAGGGAGCTGTGTGTTTGCAAAGAGAAACAATAACTGACCTTAGTGTTCCCTTTCTCCTCAGGGCTGTTGGAGTCATCACATACTTAAGGTAAATAATCCTGCTTGAAGAGACTCATTCAATATCCTTTAGTCCCAAGCCTGTCAGAGCCTCCAGCACCTTCAATGGGAGTATCTGAGTGAGAGAGGAATGGAGTCCTTCCACCAAGAGGGCAATTCCTTGTGTTTTCTCCTTTACTCTTTCCAGTTTGGCAAGGACTTTGGTGATCGTCTCTGCTCAGAGACTTCACAGACTCTCTCATGGGTCACCTTCAGTTTTTAACTTGCCCATTTGAGCAGCCATCCTTCTGTAGCTGTGCAAAATCAAGCCTTTAATTTGGTATGTGAGAAAAAGGAATAAATAACTACTCTTGTCAAGTGCCTTGTAATTGAGCGGAAAAGTGCTCAGTGGAACATGCAGCTCACCAATGTTTTGTCCCATGTGTCAGATCCTTCAGGCACTTTAAAGCTCCGTAGAAGAGTTTGTGTTTCTTTCAGTCCAATGCCAAATAAGGGTCTAAAGTCCATCTCTTTTTACTTTATGGTGTTAAATAAGCCTAACATGCAAGTCTCCGTTTGCTGGGGAGAACGACAGAGGAACCCTTCTAAATATCCAGAATGGTGAAATTTCCTGGACCCTTCCTGACTTTGTTCACTTGAGTGAAGATGCGAAGGATTTTGTAAAACGGATCCTGCAGCAGCGTCCTGAGTGAGTGCCTTTTTGTGCTTCCTATGCGCAGGATGCCAGGGCTCTCAGCAGCTAGAGCTGAGCTCAGCAGGGCTGCAGTGGTTTTAAAAAGTGAAAACCTGCATGAGATGAGCTTCTCTACGCCTGAGTTCCAATTCTTCTTTATTCGTTGCTCAAGAAATGCTTGTCTGCGGTTTGCAAAACGCATCTGCTTCTATAAGGTGATGGCCTTGCTCTCAAGTCACTCCAGGCGGAGGAGTTTCTGAAATGAGTTGGAAAAGTGAGGAAAGCATTAGCAACTACTTCAGGTCAAGGGAGTTATGTAGGAATTAAATAATACGATCCACATTTTTTAAGCATTTTTAAGTATAGAAGTAGGCTTGAAGGCATGAATGCTCGCCTTTAATTTCGTTTAAATACCTTTTGCCTGGTGCCAGAACTGGTTTTTGCTCTGGCCACCTGCAGGAGCTTAAAATCACTCAAAGAAAGCTTGTGCTAGCTTATAGTAATGTTGGATTGAAAGATTCAGTGCTAGCTTTGCTCCAAAACATCAGCACAAAGCGGTACCCAGATTTGTATGCTTGTGCATGTGCACGCGTCCAAGCAATGCAGGCAATTCTTTGGAGTCTTGCTATGGCTCTTTAAAGAGACTTGCTCCTAAAACAGCCATCTTTTCTCTTATCAGAGCCAGGCCTAATGCTTTGGAATGTCTGACCCACAAGTGGTTCATGGTAAGTCTTGGTTCTTTATAGAATGATCAAGTGATTGAGACCCTCGAGGGGCAGCTCTCACTGTCCCACCTTGTAGAACAGACCCAGCTCTCTGGAAGTAAAAGTCACTTGGTGTTTTCTTGCCAGGATTTTTCCTTTTCAAAGACAAAAATTCCTATTAATATGAGCAGATATAACGTGTCTGTGTTGAGAGGAAACCATGTTGGCAGAGAAAAATTATAGTTTATATTCAAATGCCTGGAATCTCTAGTGTAGGGAAGGGGATTTTGTTGGGGTCAGTTGGTTGTTTTTTGAGTGGTGTGGGTTTTTGGTTTTTTTTTTTTTTTTAGAACTGAATGCTATGAGGGGGATTCTGAGATTGCTATGTTATAATGAAACAAATGAGTATTTAAAATAAACAATTTCAGAGTGAAGGAATCCTAAAAATTTCTCAGGATATGAGCTCAGGACTTTTTAATCATTTTTTTTTTTTTTTTTTGGCTCATTCTGCTTTTAATTTCATTTTTGACAGCATAATCTCCCCATCGAAGCAGCTCATTTCATTAATACCAAGCAGCTCAAATTCATTGTGGCTCGGAGCAAGTGGCAGGTGAGCAGGCCTAAACCTATGTTTTTTGGTCTTTCTCGTATTTTTTTTTGTCAACTATGTTTACATCCTTAGTAGTCCATTGGGCTAGGACAGTGCAGCAGAGATGTTCTCAGGTTGGCTCTGAAGGGGGAATAAACCCTAGGCAGAGTGCTCAAGGGACGGAGATTATCCAGGCTGTTTCTGCAGTCCTAGGTTGTGAGGTCTTCCAGGAGGCTCTGAAACGGGGCTAAGACACCTGCATTTCGGTATGTACATGTAAGTTAAATGTGTAAAGTCCTGCTGTCATCCTGCGCTGACACTGAGGGCAGTGTAGCCTCTCCTCAGTTATCAGATGTCCTCAGATAACACCAGTCCCTTTGTCAACTGCGGATCACTCTGATAAGGTCATTAGCTAATGTTTATAAAAGTCTTGTTTGTAATGGTTTATAATGTTTATAATAGTGTAATGATTATAATAGTCCTGTAAGTGCTATTAGGATGGCCATTAATCACAGATAGCACTCATGAACCTATCATGAAATTTTTGCTCTTCCTCTGGGATTGTTTTGTTGGAGTGTGGGTGGGAAGTATTTTTGACATTAATGCACTGTGTCACTTACCTTTTTAAGCATTTTGTTTCCTTTCTAATTCCTGTACTACATACTCATATGAGAGCAGAGATTTCTCTGTATATTTCACAGAAATATGGATATATAGTGTAAAGGAGAGTTTTGAAATTAAAGCAACTTAAGAAGATACATTTACTAAATTATCTCTTCTAATGACAGTACCTATAGAATACATAGCTGTGTCTGTATATTTCAGCTATTCAGTGTGGCTAGCCTGTCTTTGTAATTAGTAATGAATTATAAAGAGGTCATAAGAAGATTCCTCTTTTCCTGAAAGTTGTCCAAAATAACCAGATTATTGACTTCTGAAGATGTCTTTTTCTCTCTGTTGACTGTGAAGAAAGACCTGCTGTTCAATTTCAGCCAAGATGTATTGTCCATTAGAATTTAGAGCAGATGAATCCTACCTCCTGCAGTGTGCCGGGTCTTCTGTTGGCCTAAGTCACTGCAGTGAGTGAAACTAAGACCAGTTAGTCCAAGCAGGCTCTCATCAGATGTCTCCAATTAAAACCGAGATACTTATATCTCAGCTTTTTCCTTCTGCTTTGCATGGCCAAATTATCTTTGAAAATCTCAGACAGGGTCCTGATTCTCCCTTTACTACAGGAGGTATGTCCCCTAAGATAACATAGTTCCATCTTTGTAAGTAAGAGGTTGATTCAGAGAGCAAATAATGCCTAAACCTACTGTCCATGTTATTAAGCTAGTTTGTGGAGTGTTTAAGAATACAGAGGATCATTTTTGTGTGTTTGCTTTTACCATGTTCACAGCCATGCTTCCATCTTGATTCTGCTGTCTTTTGGTTTGTTTTTTCAGCGGTCTCTGATGTGCTATAAATCCATACTGGTAATGCGATCCATTCCAGAAATCCTAGAAAGGACTCATGACAACACCTCCCTGGCCATCTCCCGACATCTCGTTGAGGAAAGCACTTCTTCCAGTACGAGTGGTTCCTCTTCAGACAACGAGAACTCAAACTTCCCCAAGAAGAGACACTTCGGCTCTACCCCTGAACTGCATTTGTCCATCTTTGATGCACCAGACAGTCAGGAACCTCCAAAACATGCAAGTGAATATCAGCACTCCAAAATCTTGGTTCCTCCAGTAAAGCCCATGAGGAGGAAGTATGCTTCAGTGAAGAGTGAAGTTGGGGACAGATCACCTACAGAAAGTGAAGAGCTCATGACAAGTACCTTAGGACAGAGAGAGGAGGGACTGCACCGCACACTTGGAGATGAAGGAGCAGAGCAGTCCCCCAAAACTGATGCAACTGAACGTTCCTCAGGGAAGATTTCCATAGATGACAAATCAAGTCTACATCAGAAGAAGAAAACAGACACATCTTTATCTGATGAGGACAAAATTGAAAGGGCTGGGGATGGGACAGAGAAGCCACCTATATGTGTTCCAAGACAGAGTGTCATTAAAAGCACTTTCTACAGCCAAGCAGCAGAGCTTCCTGCAAGGGGCTCTTCCTCTCCAAGCAGAGAGCTCAGAAGGCACTTGGACAGAGCCAGAAGGACTTTCCGGAAAGCTGGATATCCAAAGGTGCCTCTCAGTGGTCTCCGTGAACCCCTTCTAGAACAGTTTGAGCTGGAAGAAGAGGAAGAGGAAGGTGGAGGACACAGGGAAAGTCTTCCTGGTGGCTTGACCAAATCAGCCTCATTTGATACTGCAAGGAAACCACCACATCCTGCTATCACTGGCTCTAGCCGAAGCCGTTCACTGGATGATTACAGGCTAAGGGCCTCCAGATCAGTGAGGGAACAAGATATTTTGGAAGAAGACTATGATATAATATCACAGGAAAGTTGTCCTGAAGGCAGTCGCCACTGCGACATTTCTAGTGAGCCAGGCAAGGGTTGTTCTGTAGACATTTCAAACCAAGAGGATGCTAGCAGAGCCAGAAAGGATCGTCCAGAAGAACAGCTCTCTCCTTCCACGCAATGTGAGGGTCATGGATGCCCGGCTGTTACTGTGCAAAGGTTAGAGAAGCTTCCAGTATCCCCTCATAGGAGTGAGAATAGAAAGCATTTACTTAAGAAGACAAAAGCTACTCATGTGGAGGTGGAAGATGATGATTTGGAAGGCAAAAGCCCCGTTCTGACCACTGTACAATCAGATATAACTGCACCATCAGGTCAAAAGTTTGAAGGCATTCAGGCTAAGTCTCTCTCTGGCAGTGCTTCTGAGACAGCTCTTCAGGAGGACGAGCAATTAATTTCAGCTCTTCCGCAGCCAGAGACCGCCTCCAAGCCAGTCCCCACAAGCAAGAGAGGAGTGTATCTGCAGCAGGAGTCAGAGCTCTCTGCTGACAGCATTGACCACCATCCTGACCTAAAAGGTGAAAGATACGCTGTTGAAAGGACTGCTTCAGTTGCCCCCTGTAAAGACAAAAGCCAAGAGCATGCACTCCAGAAGCCTGCTGCTCACAGTGATGCTAAGCCTGATCTTCTGGAGCACAAAAGGCCTGCGGTTTTAACAAGCCCACAAGCAGAAACAGATCTATCTCCAGTGCACCAGGACAAAAGTCAGGAACTTTATGACCAAGTCATTCCAGCAGCTACTATCTTGGAGGGCAAGGAGCCAGGTTTCCAAGCAGCTCTGCAAGCAGTTGACAAAGATACTCACCAGAAGCTGAACACCTATAGGGAAGTGCAGTCTGCTGTCTTGGAGGATGAAGGACCAGCTGTTGCGGAGGGTGCTCCATTATCAGACCATGCCAGTGAAAGCCAAATGGCCCAAAGTCTCTCTGTTCGTGCAGACAAAGCATCAGCAGCTCTGAAGGGAAAGAGTCCTGTTGTCCTGAAAGTCCCACCACCAAAACCAATGCCAGTGTCAATCTCCGACAGATCACACCAAGCAGAATGGGAACAGCCAGCTTATAGCAAGGAGAAGCTTGCTGCTCGGAAGGGTGAAAGTTCAGCCCGTGTAGAAACTGTTCCCGTTTTGGTCCATGAGGCTGAAATCAAGGCAGCTGAACCCCAGGAGGCTTCTCAGTACAGCGACACAGTTCCTGCTGTTCTGGAGGGCAGATCCTTGGCTGGAACTCGTTCATCACAAGATATTAACCTCCATTCAGCCTGTGAGAGGGAAATGCAAGAATACCCACAGCTTTCCCTTTGTAGGGAGGTGACGTCTGTTGTCTCAGCAGGTGGAAGTCCAGCTGCTGGGCAGCCTATCCCTGCTCCTTTCCCCAAGACAGAAGGACAGGCATATGAGCAGCTCAAGACTGTGTATCACAGTGGCAAGGTTTCTGCAGCTCTGGAGGCCGTGCACCCATGTATTTTAACTGCTTCACAAGCCAAAGGTGCCCCAGCTTCAGTCTGTGAGCTGGAATATGGGGAATGCCCTAAGGATTATGGTGAGAGAAGCAGTGCTGCTTCAGTGACTGGAAGCTGGGATGCTAGAAAACCTGTCCCACCATCGCTGCATGAGAATCAAAGGCAGGAGATCTCACATCAGAGGTCTTCGTTTTACAGTGATGAGGAGTCTGCTGCGCTGGAGGGCTTAGTGGATGAAATGGTTTTGCTTTCTGAAGAGATGAATGTTTGGGCAGAGTCAGTTGGGCAGATTCAGGAGGAATGTAGAAAGGACATCTCTTCTCCCACAGAGATATTCTACAAAGAGCCTGGTGGCCAAGCATCTACAATAAGTTTCTCTCCTTCTGGTGAGAGCAGTAGAGGAGGAGAAGTCTCTGAGATGGATGATATCCCAGAACCCTACCTTGCTGTGCATGAGGAATCAGCTGTGCTGAAAGGACATGGAACACAAATGGTTCCTCGTGAATGTGAGCATCTGGAGGATGTAGCATTTGAAAGCACCAGTTCTAGTCAAGTAAGCATTTCCCAGAGGGATAGCTTGGATTCTGGGGAAAAAAACAGTCAAGTGCCAGTGAGCAAGGACAGTAGTAAATACCCTGAAGTGTCTTTGCTGAAAATCAAAGATCTGTCGGATGAAGCACCCAGTGTTAGTAGTGGAACGCCCAAATTTGACATATCAGAGGTAGAGCCTGCCTATTTGAATTTCTCAGATCTGTATGACATTGTCTATTTTCCATTTGAATTTATGAACTATAGGAAGCCTCCACCCAAACCAACTGGTAGACGATTTATACCTTTTAGTGAAAGGGCAAGGTCGCCTCCTGCAGGACATTTGCATAAGGAAAAAAGATTGTGCATCAGAGAAGAGGCAGAAGAGAGGAACAAGCAAAACCTTTTGGAAATATCTGGGAGTTCAAAGGCAATCACCCTCTCAGCCATGGGGAAAGGGTCAGAGGGTCATAAGGAAATGTACGGCTTCCAAAAGGACCCAAGCGGTAAGCAGAAAAGCTCCTTCAGCAAGCCAGGACTCTTTAAACCCTACAGAAGATCTCATTCCATGGAGCAGTCAGTGGAGCAGAGCCTAAAGAAGAAAGTGAAAGCTTCTGTTGCCCATCTTTCAAGAATCCTGAAAGGAAAGACGTCACCTGAGCGAGAGGCAGAGGAAGGTCAATATTTTATTTTGTACCTTCTGATATCTTTTAGTGTAGTTGAGCTCCACTAAATCTGCCTTTTTACATCCTCTGCAATATATCTGAGGTTCATATCTAGACAGTAGCTGCAAAACTGTCAGAGACAGACTTGGAACCTGCAGACCAGACTAAGCCTGATATCTGCAGGTTCATAGAATCACAGAATGGCTGAGATAGGAAGGGACCTCTAAAGATCAGCTAGACCAGCTCCCCCCGCTAAGGTTGTCCCTTAGCTCTCTGTTGCTGCCCCTTTTGAGGGCAAAGTCAGCTGGGTGCTGATGGAAGCAGCTTGTATTCCCCTGCCTTAATTCACACAAAAGCAGAGCAGGGCTGGATGACACAATGTCCCAGCCTCTGCCCCACTGACAGAATAGCAGTAATGTGCAAAGGTTGGGAGATAAAACACTGACATTACTTCTGCAGTCACCACCTGACTGTGGCCTCAATGACAAATCTTTAAAGAGACTGCGTGAAGCTGGTGAAATTGCCCCAGGATCTATACCTAAATTAATAGCATTCAAGTCTGGACAATAGAACCTGCCCTCACTTTTCTGCCTGCCCTAGATATGCCTTCCTCTCACACCACATCATTCTGCTTGTAAAAGCTTTCACAGCTTTTCATGTTGACTAAGGGCTCACTAATAAGGAGGCCTGTGACTAATGAAATATTTGCAAGTGAACTGCAGAACTTTTTGAAGTAAATATATGTGGTGGGGAGAAGAGTGGACTTGAATGAAATCTCTTCCTTCCCTTCTAGCAGAGATTGGTGTGCTGGAAAGTGAAGCAGTAGAGAAAGAGCCATTAGCAGGAGCTGAAGGATCTTGGAAGAGGAAATCGGGACTTCCATCATTCAAGTTACCAAGCCTCCTGCCAAAGGAGAAAGGTACTCTTCATTGCCCAAATCATCAGCTAATTTTATCATCAGATGTCACTATGAATGTAACAGTGCAGCTCGAGGCCTGCAGCTAAAGCTGAATCTACATGTCTGTCTGGAGATAGTCCTAGACCAACCCATGCAAGTTGCAACCCATGCATATAGAGCCAGAAAACTCTATATCATTACTAATGTCCCTGCTAAAACTGCCTTGTCGTGGGCTTGTTTGCAAATTGGAACCATTCTAGGAAGCTACTGCAGAGGACCAAACTCGACCTGTAAGCTGTAAAGAGAAGAAATGGGGTGTCCAAATGCCAGACAACAAAGGAGGGAATTGTGAAGTTAAATCTCCTGCTTTTCTCCCTTCCAGTGTTGTCTTGGTCTGATCCCTTCATCCTTGGAACATCAACACTTAGTTTTGCCTAAACATTTAAGCTAAGATAGTAAAAAACCAAAACAAATCAAAACAAAAAAAAAATAACAAAAAGAAAAAAAAATAGAAAACTCCTGCAGTGGCATACACTTCATGTTCTCTGCTGTCGATGCAGCAGGGCTGTGCAATGCAGATGTTCCTCAAGACCCTTTCAAGGGTCAGATCTGCCCTATTGTCCATAACCAGATAAATACATAGTAAGCCAAAAAAAAAAAAAAAAAAAAAAAAAATCCAAGGGAGGAGTATGGAATCTAGTGTCTGCGGGAAAGTTTGGGTGATTAGATAGCTATGTCTTTTGTCATAGTGTGTGGGCAATCATGTTGAGTACATGCGAGTGAAGGGAGCCTCTCTATTTCAATGGGGACTGCACTTCTTAAGTACCCAGGGAATTCTCAAGAAAACGGTGGTCAAATGAATGCCAGAGCATGGGCAAAATATCCTTAGACTAGTCAAAAAAAAAAGTCTTTTCTTTTTTATCCTGTGTTTTGCATGTAGCTGTTATCAGCATAACTCCGCTGGCCTCCCTGAAGAGCCGCTCTTCTCTCCTTTGCAGCTCCTTCGTTTGCTGAAGAGCTCATAGACCAGACCACTGCTGTAGGGCAGTGTGTAACTCTGTCGTGCCGGACAGCAGCTCACTCCTCCCCGCACATCGACTGGTTCAGAGGTGACGTTGACACTCCCATAGAGAGGCCAAAGCCTTCAGGAAAACGTGTTAGACGTTTCCTCCTCAGTATAAATTTGCACAGTGCTTATTTTTCATATCCCGTGCCTTTCAGATGGGATACCCATCCGCAGCAGCAGTCGAATCCTCATCTCAACCACACTCAAAAGCTTCCAGCTGTTAACTATTCTGTCTGTTCATGCTGATGATTTTGGTGTTTACACCTGTGTAGCCACTAACTCTCTGGGCTCAGCGTCTACCTCTTGCATCGTAAGAAAAGCTGGTAAGAGAAGAAGTAACTAGTTTTATCTGTTTATTTATTTATTTTTCTTGGAGGTAAGTGGTGTATGCAGAGTCAACGCTTGATGAATTTTTCTTTGCTTTTTGCCCTGTGCTGGCTGTGAGAACCCAACTGAAATTGGGAAATCTTGGAACTTGAGAGTTAGAGTGGATTTTAAAGCAGAGGAACACAGTGATAGCTAATGCAGCTTGCATTCAGGAGCAGGGACAGCTAGATAGATGCTGTCAGATAGAAGGGTACACCTTTAACACCATTGACAGACTTAGGTCAGTCTGGCAAGCGATTTTGGAAGCTGAAGGTTGCCCCAGGTTTGGAAAACAAAGGTGCTTCTAGACCTGGAAAAATGTGACTCCCATCCATGCACTTGGCAGTAGGGTATTACACCTGAGCTTTCTGTAGATAGGTTCAGGGGAAAGTTTCTGCTTTGCTTGCTCTATTTGCCATCCACCACCCTTGTCGTTTGGTAGCAGAGCACATTTTGCACTGTGCTCATTCCCTCTTTTTCACTTTTTAGTGAAATCTGCCCTAGATTCAGAGTCAGTCCAGAAACAGTGCACTTAGAACCAAATTTTAAAATCTTTGCTGCTAGACACAGCTAAGTTACTCTTCCAGTAAAAATATTTTTTTTTTCAAAATATCTGTAACAAAAAGCACTGTGCATGCAGGTACAAGTCACAGCAGTGCTAGAGATAACAGTCATTTTGGTGCATCCTCTCGACAGAAGTTCCTCCAAGCCCTCCACCCCCTGACATCGTGGATGTTTACAAGGATGGAGTGCAGGTGGTCTGGAAGCCTGTGGAAACCAACACCCCTGTCCTCTACACTGTGCAGTGCAAGAGTGAAGGTAAGATGGAGCTCTGCTCTTACACCTTGCAGAACATCTCAGTCAGTATGAGCTCTCCACCAGCTGGGTATTTTTTTTTATTCTTATTATTTATTTTTATTTATTTTTATTATATTATTTTTTATTATTATTTGTCAAGACTGCATGCCATCCTTTCAATGCTTTCTTCCAAGGCTTATGCTGAAGCCAGTAGATGTTTTTTTGCATTTAATTCCAAGAACTTTGAATCAAATCTCTAAGTTTTTTCTCTCTCATGGGGTCGCTTTTACAGTGCTTGTTGTGAATACCTCTACTAATAGTAATTTCTATTACAATCCTGAATACACAGTCATTTGGATTGAAAGGTTCCATGTTCTTTCTTTTAATTCTCCTAAGAGACATGCACTTCATTCTTGATTAATATGAGCACAGGCAGAAACTTTCTGCCTATTTATGCTGTACTTGGTGTCCGATGCTTTTCCTCCAGCACAACCTTCTTTATGGTTGCTTCTTTTGACACAGCTATGGACAAGACTTTAGGCAAGATGTTCCCATTTGGAAGAAAGGACAAGAAACAGCATCCACTGTCTTCATTCACATTCTGTTCATTTGGCAGGAACATGCAAAGTTGTGCTTTTTCATGTGCAGACAGATTAAGCTAAACAGAAAACAAATCTTTATCTTGTCCTTTTTCTAACAATAGGCTTTTGCCCCCTTCTCTGATTCTGATCCGTGGCTGCCCCTTCTTGCATATGCACATGCCAGAATTCAATTAATAGCCAGCAAAGTCCTTGAGACCTTTGCTGTGGGTTGCAAAATATCACTAGTGTTATGGCTTGAGGCACTCTGTAATTCTCGGTATTTGTTTGAATAAAAGGTTAGGTTTCATCTCGGTCATTGCTGGGAACTTTGAGTTCAGCTTTGAGCACAGTGCCGATGACAACATGTGGGTCACAGCATTGAATGAAATGTTTGCAGGGATTTTCCTGGTCACGCCTTAGCCCCATGGATATTGTCCAGGATAAATCATCATTTTTATTTTCCTGAGCCATCACTTGAACCTCATAAATGTTGAGTGAGGTTGGCTCCAGTTTCAAATATTTGGTTTCCTGGAGAGTGGTTAATGGATGGTTCTCTTGTGAAAACCGGCAGTTCATGGTTTCAGCAGGATTTAAGATAAGACCAAAGGGGGAATAGAGTGTTTTTACAGTCAGAGTTTCGGCTGGAGTTCATCGTGTCTTGACACTTGTGATGGTGGTATGAATTAGATAAACAGAAACTGTGCAAACAAGTTGCATCAGTCCTCTGCAACAGCATTACCACACCTTGGACTGATTAAATATCAAACAGCTGGCTTCAGAAGAGAGAAGGTTGCCACATGCACAGTCAGTTAAAACATCCCCAGAAGTAGGCTATAGAATGCTTTTCCCTTCACTTAGAGGTTCCACTGCTTCTCCATATTTCCAGCAGATGAATAAAGTTGATGCAAAGAAAGAGTGGCAAGACTGTCCTAACCCCATTCCTTATTTCACTCTTTCCTTGGCCCAGAGGGAGAGTGGAAGACCCTCGCTATGGACATCGCTGACTGCTGTTACTATGCAAATAACCTCTCCAGAGGTTTCACTTACTGCTTCAGGATCGCCTGCATCAGTAAAGCAGGAATGGGCCCTTACAGCAACCCATCTGACAAAGTGAAGATCAGTGAGAAAGACGAAATGGGTAAGATACCTGGTAATTGGAAAGCATTTTGCTTTTACTGCATCAAAACAATTATCCCGTCTTAAATACAGCTGCAGAAGTCAAGGAGGAGTGAATCAAGACCAATTCCACTTATGCTGGGGTGTTTTGAGGTCTTGGCCTCTTTGGCTGCCTTATTCATAACTAAATTCTGTCCTAGCTCTGTCTGGAATATCTAGGAGATTATCTACACAAGGTATCTAGAAGCTGTGGATTACACTCTGAGGTTAGTATGTTTGCTAGGCCTTTGGATACCACTCTGTTTTGAGGTGAGATCATGAGACCTGGGACAAGAAACTTGATACTTCAGGCACTGATCTAATAATATGTGTCTACCTCCAAGGGCTCTATTGTCAAATTCCTTTATGCCAGTGTGTCCAGCATTTTCAAACAGATGCTTTAACATGCCAGGAGACATATTTTAATATTTTCAGGGAGCATTCAGATAGAATAGCATGCCAGGAGCAAAGCAACTTGTTTCAACTGATGTACTGAAATACCCGGATGAAACAAATTTCTGTTCCTTTGGCAGTGTTTTATCATGCTTTGAGGGTTGGTTCTGTGAGAAGGTAAGAACCAGTAGCTGAATCCATAGTTGGCAATTGCAGTGAAGGGTTTGGTATTGTACTTGTAGGATATAACATACTGTCAATCTCATGTGGTCTGGAGCGATGACACCAGCAAATTGCTGCATGGTCAGTCCAGGATCTGTTTGCAATAAAAGGGGAGTGGTGTCGGAGATGTGAGACAACATGCAAACTTGCCTGGTTCTTCTGTTGTCTTGATCTTCACTTGTAAAGATAGTGGAAGATGGCTCAGAGAGTCTGTAGTGTCCACACAGAGTTGTTTGGCTGTGTAATTCTCATCATTTTTTCTTCACAGGGCTTCATACTACAATGCAGAGCTTTTCATCAACTGCTGCTGATGAAGAGAGTGAAATCATAGCACCATCTGAACCTTTCCCAACCTACCAAACCTATGCTTTCCAAACAGAGATCAAAAGGTAAGTAACTTAAACTGAGTGCTCAATCAGTGGTAGTGAAATGTTGAAGGTAGCTAGAAAAAGCAAAATAAAGCTAGAAAAGTTGCTTTTAGGAAATTTCTGCTCAACTTAGGTAAGTCTAGCACACTTCTAGGTGAGTCTTCTCCTCATTGTATCATCCTGTGCAGCTGTCGTTTTCATGGAGTTGAGATTTAGCTTCCACTGAAGGACCTTGGATCCTTCTGTCACTAACAGAGGGAAGTAGCTGCCTCCTGAAAGTACTAGACAGGATAAGCCACATTATATCTCTTTCTCCCAAAGGATTTAGGATCTCATTCCTACATGGCGATCTGTCTGTACAATGCAGAGACAGAGGAAGCATGTGCCAGATGTGACAATAGTTGCAATAACTCAACATAGGGCAGGGATGAAAAATATGCAGTGGGATCCTGTTGATTTTAAAATACAGAAGCTGCTGGTTCTTCCAGTAATAGCAGGAGAAGTTTAACTCACCTTTGTCTTCCTTTGTACCAGGGGGCGTTTCAGCATTGTCCGACAGTGCCGGGAAAAAGTCAGCGGCAAGACTTTAGCTGCTAAAATCATCCCTTACTGGCAAGAGGACAAACAGGCTGTGATCTTGGAGTACCAAGTCCTGAGAAAGCTTCATCACACAAACATAGCTCAGCTGAAGGGAGCCTATGTGAGCCCACGGCACTTGGTGTTGATCCAGGAGATGTGTGCGGGACCAGAACTACTCCATTCTTTGGCGTTACGGTAAGCAGACATGGAGGAGCTCCTGGAGGGAAGAGTTTCTGTTCAAGGCTCATGTCAATAGCAGAACAGCTGTGTTTACATCTCTCGTCCTTGATTATCTCTTCCCATCTGTTCCCATGGGTTGTCATTGATGGATTTGTAGTGTATTTGTTCTGTGACTTCTTGTGACACAAGGAACTTCCCTACTTCGCTGGTGTAGTGAATAACTCAGGCTCCTCCAGCTTTGAGGTTGAAAGCATGACACAGTAGTTGATATGAATCTTTCTGTCCCATAACAAGGAGATTCCTATGGGTCAGAAAGCCTTGTTTCCCCTCAAGATTATTTCTTGTAATGGCAGCTGAAATGCTCTGATTAAAGATGTGGGACTGGTGGGCATCAAATCTGCATTTTGATCTCTGCACCACCACTGCTTTCTCTGCAGTTCACCCAGCCCTCTAAAACTCTGCATCCATAGGCCAGGCTCACAAGAGGGATCAGCCTCTCCATATTCAGTAAATTCTCTAAAATAAGTAGAGTTGCTTTTGCTGAGCCCACAAGGCAGCATCTTACGGGATTATATTTCCAGGGGAGGATGACAGTGGGTGCAGACTAGAGCTCTTGAGCTTGCAAATAGGACACCTCTGTTTTCCATCCCTTTCTCCTACCAGGCCATCCTACTCAGAAGTGGAGGTGCGAGATTACCTGTGGCAGATCCTCAGTGCAGTTGAGTACCTCCATGCACGCAGCATCCTGCACTTGGATCTCAGGTCTGAAAACATGATCATCACTGAGCCCAACCTGCTGAAACTTCTGGACTTTGGCAATGCACAGTTCTACACACAAGACAAAGTTATTACCATGGACAAGTGCATGGACTATGTTGAAACCATGGGTAAGTACAGAGTTGATACAGAGCAACCTCAGCCTTGTGTGCACTCTGTGATAATCAGAGTGAAACTGACCCATGGGTCAAGGTGACAGTTTGCAACTGGTCCAAATAAGCAAGGTCTCCCACATGCCGCCCTCTGGTCAAGGTCTGCAGGAGCAGTTGTCAGTGACAGGTTTGCTGCTTGCTGACCATGGGGAACGCATCCAGAGGTCATGGCCAACACCACGCTGGCTGGCACCCATGTGCTCCAAGTTGATGGGTGTCATGTCACTGTCCTTGCCGTGCCTGGCTGCTGTATGTAGAGCTCAGGAGGAACAACGAGCAACTCAGAATTTCCAAGACTGAGTAAACCACAGAGCTCATGTTGGGGGTGTCCCTGAAAGCCACAGAGCTCCTTGAGAACATATAGTATATCCTTAGGGAATATTCATGCTCTACTCCTCATATTCCCATTGATGTCATGTGCCTGGTAGGAGAGAAGACATATCTGTTTTTTACCAGTGAGAAGGAGACTAGGCCTGCAGCATCCTTTCTGGGAAATGTGCAGAAAATAAATAGTACTAAAACAGATCAGGGAATACAAGAAACCCAAAAAAAACAACCCCAAGAAGTGACCTCAGAGGTGTCCATTGGTTTTCTGTTCCCAAGGTTTCATTACATTTTTGACCCATGGAGGTGTCCTACCTCAATCACCACCCCATGCTAGATGGACTTTTTTGTCTTTACCCTTTGAGGAATGTAGCAAAGTGTAAAAGTAGCTACTGCTTTTGTGCTGATCATAGTGCTAGAGTGTGGAGCAGAGCTTGGCTCACTCACATTTGCTTTTGTAGCTCCAGAACTGCTGACAGAGCAAGGGGCCCTCCCTCAGACTGACGTCTGGTCCATCGGAATCACAGCATTCATCATGTAAGTCAGTCTGCCGCAGGAGCCACTTTAAAAGCGTGATTTTAGAGCACCAACCAGCCTTGTCTCAGATACTTTGCCCTAAATTAGGTCTTTTCTCCTCAGTAATGCCACAGTGTGGCTGTGCAATGCAGGGTTGGCAGCTACCTATTCAATGCCAAGACACTCAGCCCCAAGGATGTCTCCAGATGGAGCCACAAGCTGCCTGCATGACTTGTTTCCTCTAAAAGTGAAGGAAGGAGGTAGTTGTGGGACACAACAGCTGCTTGTGTTTCTCAGCCTAATTTCAAAAGCCCCAACTTGAACAGGAAAATTTGAATTTCACAAAATGAAAAAGCTGTCAAAGCAAAAAAAAAAAAAAAAAAGAAAAAAGAAACAAAGCCACTGAAGAACACTGCATGACTTTCCTCTTACTGCTGAGTGGGAATTCCTGGGAACAGAAATATTTCTAGAGTGCCTTTTCGTGATGATCAGTTCTTCTCTTGGGTTAGGTTGAGTGCCAACTACCCGGTCAGCTCTGACGCACCCTGTGAATTCCTGAGAATGACCAGGAAGGGGAAAGTGAAGCTCACGCGATGCTACGCTGGTCTCTCTGGAGGGGCAGTGTCATTTCTCCAGAGCACTCTCTGTGCCAATCCCTGGTAAGGCAGTGAATGCTTTCCCAACGGGACAGTTTGTGGAGAACCCAGTTATTGCCCCTTCTTTCTCTACATTTCTTAGTAGCTTCCTCACCTGGCAGGTCTTCATGACTGATGCTCTGTTCTCCTGTCCTAGGGGAAGACCATCAGCCTCGGAGTGCCTGCAGAGCCCATGGCTCCAAGAAACAGGTTTGGACAGCAGGCAGCAAGCGCTGGTTACTTTTCCCACTACCAAACTGAGGAATTTCCTCATGGAACGGGAGAAGAAAAGGGATCTGCTGTGCTCCAAGTATGGCCTGGTGATCGCGCAGTGAGGTGGATGAGAAGACAGTGGTGAATTGTCTCCCTTCCTGCTTCTGCATTTAGTGTTTGGTACCAAAGGGTGCTGTCAAGTTACTGTGCATCAGCTGAGTTAGGGTAGATGGACAGAGTTGAGCATTTAGGTCTCTGTGAACACGGTGTAGCATAACTGTAAACAAATCTAATTCTTGAAGGGTGGGAATGTAAATAGGGCTTGTCTGACCGATGGTAACCTGTGTGTGTCACCTGTCTCCGAGCTTCCTGGAATAACCAGGTAGCTTTGCAAATCCTTTCCTGCAACTGGATAAACTCCAAGTGTGCAAACACAGAGGCTTCGGCCCCTAGTCCCAGGATACGGCATTGGGAACCCCTTCAGATGTCCCTGTGCTGATCATCCCCCAGGAACAACCACAGCAAGGCTTGAAGGATGGATGGACTTTCTCACCTGCCTGCAAGCCGAAAGAATTTAATAAACAATTCTGATTGGAAAATAGCCCTGAGGCAAGGAGGAGGTGGAGAAGATGATGATTAGACTGTAGGATGGAATCATAATTATGAGAGTCACCAAAGGGAAATAGAACAGAGTGTAGCACCTGCCTCTTCTTGAACTGATAGCAAATAGCAGTATAGCTAAGGGCTTTGGATGTAAAGGCCTGACTGGATAAAGCTCTTAGCAACATGGTCAACATGTGGTTAAAGGTCTGAGCAACCCTGCTTTGAGCAAGATGTTGGACCGAAGACCTCCTCAGCTGTGTTCCAACCTGACATATCCTGCGATGGATGAATGGGCTCAGCATGTCACTTGCCTGGCTAAGTACAGCACCCAACAGCACCATCCCCACAGGGCCCAACCCTGGATTAAACACAGGGCTTTGCCATCCAAATGAGAGGAGATGCTTCCTAGCTATGGAGAAGCTGCAAAGGGAGGTTCAAATATGTGTTATGTTCATGACAGTGTTGCTGTAAATGGGCTCCTCCCAGTAGCTGATGAGCAGCATCTCTTGCTTACATTAATCTTGCAAGAGGCCATACCTTGCTTGGCTTTGAGCAGTTGCTCTTCTCCGAGGGTACTCAGCCTCCATGATTTGTAAAAACCTGGAGCTCTGCTTTTCTTGGGACAGGTATTTTGAAGTCTCCCACTTAGACCTTGAAGTAGACTTACCTGTCATGTGAGATGTTAGGGCAAACCCTCCCCTGTGTTATTTTCTCTGTTCTCTGAGCAATGTGTTAAAGAGCAAATCTGCAACCCCATGAAAAACCAGCTCTGCCAAGGGGTGACTTGGTGGAACAAACTGGGGCTGGGACTGACCGATTCCCAGGCAGCACCCTTCTCACCTTTGCACACCATGGACAATAGTGTGCCATGGGCATCTTTATACTTCCCTCTCCCTGTCACCCTCGCTTTTAGATGCTGAGATTCCTGGAGAGTAGGAGGGGACGTGTGAACAGTGCGTTGGAGAGAAGCAAGTTAGCGCTTTAAACACAATTACAGAGCAGTAAAGACATCAAATACAATATCGGCCATAACTTTGTTATGTACAGAAGATTTATTACTAGGAAACATTGACAGCTCAAAGTTCTGCTGCTGTTTCCCAAGGAGTGCACAGGCACACCTACACAGAGACGTGAAAGCAGCACTGTTGGCAAATGCCCTGTTTTGACTCTTCCGAAAAATCCAAAGCATCCTGAAGTTTTGTGTACTGCTTTGTTCTGCAGAAACTGCTGGGCACCGCATTCCTTCCCCATGGGTGGTGCCAGCTCTCTGATTTCTTAGTACTTATAACCTCAGTGTGCTGTTGCCTTTCTGAGAAGCAAGAGATGTGACTCTTGGTTCTGCTGGGTTTCTTGAGTTTTCCTTGGGGTGTTGTCTCAGAGCAGCATCGGCTGTGTGAAGAGGGAGGAGAAGGGGAAATCGGTTCCTCATGTATTATTATGATGGTTCAATACCATCATATGGAAGTATCAGAAGGAGAAGCGTGGATTAGAGTGTAAAGCTTTGAACGTCAAAGTCATCTTGTCGTCATGATGCGTGATAGAGGAGAAACCAAACCTCCACGAGTGATTCCTTAGGGGTCAGAGGGTTTATGGGAGACAGGATATGAGATCCATTCCATTCAGCTTTTCAGGATCCCAGATTCCTTCCAATTTACCTTCCTTTATAAATCCATGGAGAATTCTGTTGGCCCAGCCTCAATCTTTACTCTTGCTGGGGAACCTTGGGATGGAAAGCTCCGTTTTGGAGGACAATCTGTCTAAGCATAGAACTTTAAGTCATCTGGAGTTTTGACACTCCTCGTTCTCGGATGACTCTGATTTTTGCTTCTCACATTTGCATGCATTGGAGCATGTCTGGAGTTTTTTATAAACTCAATATTGTTTTGTTAACTAATGCTAAATAAACTGTTCTGACAAAGAACTAAAGCCAGATTTTTCTGCAGAACCAGTGTCGTTGTCATTATTTTTATATCCTTCCCCGGTGCTATTATACCCTATGGCTCTGTATCACGTGGAGACCTTTGGGGTCTCCACATTATGTAGCTTCTGAAAGGCCCAGAAGTCGCTCCTGCCCCATTAGAAGCAGCAACTAGCTCTGGATAATGCTGACAGAGATAGGAGGGTGGTTCTCTCTACAGTATTTAAAAGGTTCTCTCTAAAGCAGCCCACAGTTCTCTAAAAGTTCCCACATTGCCCTAGCGATGGAGCTCCATGAGTCCGTCAGGTCATTGCCTAGCTCCGGTCACCTCTCCTGGCCTTAGCTCAGGGAGCTGCCCGGAGGGGAGACCCTTGGAACAACCCCCAGACAAGGCCAGAAGATGCTTCCAGTTTGCCCGGATGGTGCCCACTCATTGCTGTGAGAGCATCAGGCCAGTATTTTGGGTAACAGTGTTAGCTGTGGCGGCTACCTCTACTGGGAAATAGAGCAATTTTATTAATCATAGTGGTGCCCCAGCTGCTTGACAACTTCTCTCTGTTTTTTTTGCCCTTGAGACGAGGTTACAACATAACTCTGGCCTCCAGAGAGCAAAGGCAAATGATGTTTGACATGCCTGAAAATGTTTGAGTTGGTTTCCTCAGTCATATGCCGAAGTCCAAGGTTAGGGTTGGGGGTAAAATCAGTCTTCTGAGCTTCACCTCTCGTAAGGGCTGCTCTTGTCAGAGCCTTGCCTATGGGAAGGGGAAAGCATAGAAAAGTGGTCAGGGAAAGTCCTAGCTTTTATCGGGCCAGCTGTTACAGGTGCGAGAAGCTGGGATGTTTGGAGCCCCAGAGGTAGCTGTGGCTGCAGCCCATGGAGGTTTTCATGGTGCTTTATCCTGCCCAGGTCCTGTCTCCATCACCCTCCCCACCACTCCCTCCACCCATCACAGGCTGCTCTGCTGCTGGAAAGAGCCAGGGAAGGAGGGTCCAACGGGAAGCAGGGAGGGTGTCCCCAGAGGGCCCGGAGCACTGGGATGAATCCAAACACACACACACAGATGCAGGTATCTTTTTTTTATCTCCCGTAGCAGTGCACAAGAGCCCCAGCATGGATGCACACCCGCTCGCAGCCCTGGAAAGGCCGTTGTCCACGTCTTAAGTCACGTAGATGCATGAAAGTGGTACCCAAGGTTATTACTGGTGTTTTGCAATTTCTACTGCCTCCCAGTTATGTTGCAGTTGAACCCAGCACGTTCTCTCCTTTCCTCAGGTGTGAGCAGGGGAGGGTTGTGTGTTGGGGGGGGTGTCTGTGGTCAGTAGGTCCTACTTCTGCTCTAAGGGACCTCAGGGGACACATTTTGACCTACAGCCAAGAGGAGCTTGCAGGCAAGACCCCGCTCAGCCCACGATTGAATTTATTGTCCTCTGGCCTCTTGGGTGCCTTCTGAGCACAGTGAGATGTTTTGGCTTGATGGGGAGAAGCGGGGAGGAGGGAGGCAAATCACAAGCGCGTGAGCTGGCAGCATTCTGCCCTGGATATGCTTCACGTGGAAAGTACGCTGGGATCCCTGCTTGCTTCCTCTCATTCCAACGCACCGTTAAGAGTCCGATACCAAAATAACACAGCCCCGAGGCCAAGGGGAAGTAAAAACAATACAGCAAAACACACACATGGAAACGCGCAACAGAAATACAGCGAAAAGCCCTGATAACAGCTAAGCGAGTGAGTTCGTACCAGCTTTCGCCCTTGCAAAGGAGCTCGGCGCGCATCCGCTGTCCGCGGGAGGAGCTGAGCGCAGCTTATTTCACCAGCAGCTCCTAAACGAGACCGAACGCCGCGAGGTGTTTCAAACTAAAAGCGCAGCCGGTATCTGAAGCGAACGTCGTGGACAGGCTGCATCATCCCGAACCCCCAGCGGCTGATGTCGATCGGCGGGTCCTCCTCTTTCCCGCTGAGCAGCTCCAAGTCGTAGTAGGAGAGCATCAGGAACACAAAGAGTTTCATTTCGTTGGTGGCGAAGAACCGCCCGGGGCAGATGGATGTGCCTGCTCCCCAGGGCATGTTGAAGTATTTCAGCTTTTTCCCGTCCTTGTAGAAAGTTTTCTTGGTGCCGTCTGGGTTTAGGAAGCGGTCGTATTTAAACCGGTGGGGCTCGGGGTGGATTTCTGGGTCCATCTGCACAGAGGCGTGTGGGAACAAGGCCACCCTGTCCCCAGAGCGCAGAGTGTACTCCGTCCCCTTGCCCGTCTTGAGGGTCATGTCCTGCAGGACGGATCTGATAAGGATCGGCGCTGCGGTGAGCCGCAGGGTCTCCTCCAGAGCACTGTCCAGCACAGGGGTCTGGTTTAACATGTCCTTAGTGATGTTAATTGGCGGGCTACCTCGTTTCACTTCCTGGCCGCTCTCCCTGGAGACTTTATCCAATTCTTCCTTCACAGCCTTCATAGCCTCAGGGTGCTTCATTAGGTACAGGAGGAGCCAGAAGGCAGCTGGGCCCGTATTGCCTTGGGATGCCCAGAGGAGCAGAAACATGAAACGATCCCTCATGTACTCGGGGACGCCGTGTTCTGCCAGGGACTGCTCTTGGTCGCTCACCCACCTACTGATGTTGTCCTTCTGCCGGCTCTCCTTCACCGAGAGCCTCTTCCAGAAGAGCCTCTTGAGCTGCTCGGCTTCAATCTTGTCCTTGGGAGGCAACACGGCGTAGGCCAGGCGAGGGAAGAGGCGGTCGTACTTCCGAAATTCATAGAACAGCTCATCAGATTGGACACGATCATGCTCGTTGGCTTTTTCCTTGTTATCTGCCCCTTGGTAGGGCTCGCTGCCATACAGAGACAGGTACCCAGCTCTGAAGACGATGTTGTAGCAGTAGTTGAAGAGCCCGTCTTCTTGCCACGTGCGCTCCCCGTCTCCCAAGTTCAACTTAAAGAGCATCAGCTTCTGCAAGTTGTCCATCATGGCTTGTGTCATGATGATAAGCCCGTCTCCCATCAGATGCTTCGTGCTTGATAGCTGAATAATCTTGTGGGTGGCTTCGATGGGCTGGTATCCGAACACGCGGAGGACCAGCTCGGTGGCAAACTTCTCAAAGTCTAGTTTGGATCGCGATTCCTTCACGATGGCACCAAAGCAAAAGGGGTCCATCACAAAGGTGAAGTAATAGCCCCCGATCAGCACGGTGAAAATATCCCCATGCTTCCTCTGCATCCTCTTCAGAAACTCAGAGCTGTCCTTTCTGAAGTCGAGCGCGTAACCCAGCCACGGGATGAGACCCTTGTCCAGGGGTGGCTCATTGGGTCTCCTTCTCCGAAACGCTCCCACGAGGTAGAGCCCACCAAGCAGCAACACCACCAGGGAGCAAAGAAGAGTGACCAAGACAGCCATGGCAGCCCTGCACCCGTCAGGACTTTACCCTGGTACCGGGCAGGAGAGGGCTCTTTATTCACATCTGCTTGCTGATAAGCCCTGTACATCTGACGACCTCGGTTGCTATTGGTGGAAGCTCTTCACCCTTCCCCCGCCGGGCTCTGCTGCTTACTCCTCCTTTCCCTCTCACTGAAGGCAGGTATTTCTGAACTTGGAAAGTGATGGTGCTCGTCACAATCATGCTGCAGTGGTGGGGCTGCCGAGCAGGCTGGGTGGGTTTTAATGTGTGCGTTGGTGCTTTGCTGTAACTTAAATGGCTCTTTCTAGGTTAAAAGTTGCATCTGAATTGAGTCGTACTTTGGAGGGGGGAAAAAAGAAAAAGAAAAGGAAAAATGGAAAAATAAATAGAGGAGAGGGAGGTTAGGGAATCTCACTCAGGGATTCCTGCCCCTAACCCCCAGCTATGGGGTTGCTGGCTGAATAAAACAGACTGAGACATTGGAAATGCCACCGTGAGTGAGTTCAGGAGAGAGGAAGAGGGGTTAAAGCTGAACTGATGTGGCTCAAAAGCCAGGAGGGAAGGAAAGATCTCCGTCATTCTGAGGTTCCCAAACTCCGTAAGCTCTCTGCTGGCTGTGCTGGTCCTGCTAATCCATGCAAGGGCAGAACAAGCACGCGTTCACCCTCCCCAGGGTAGAAAAGAGTTTAAATCAATCACATGAATCCATTTTTTGTCTGCTGTCCCAGCCCTGGTTTCTTGCTCAATTCATACTTTTTCCATCCCGGTTCCACGTCCCCTGCCCAATCCCTGTATGTTCCCCCCGTGACCAAGGAGTGTTCCCGGTTACGCTGCCCGGTGTGGAGGGACACGCTGGAACACGCAGAGCCCGTCCCGCGCCGCCCTGTCCGTCCCTGCACACATGGCTGCAAGCGCCTCCACCCGCAGCACAGGGAGCTGAAAGGCAGAATTTTCTCTTTAACCCTTTTCATGATCCTTTTTTCCCTCTTTTTTTTTCTTTTTTTTTTTTTTTTTTCCTTTCTCCTTCCTCCAACTTTCTTGGTAGGCAGGCAAATATTCCACCCCCCCACACCAGGACCATCAGCCAAATGTATCTCCCGGGGCTGGGGGCAGGAGGATGGAGATGCCTCTGGATTCCTCAGCGCTGCTGCGAGCCGGGGAGCAGCCGGCAGCATCGAGGAGACGTCGCAGAGGGGCTGGCGATGGGTAACGTGCATCGACACGGCTCTGAGGCTCCTCGAGCCGAGGTAGGTGTCCCCCCCGGTGGGCTGGGACCAACGGGGATGCGACTGGGCAACACGAGTCATGGGGAGATGCCACCTCCAGAGCAGAGCCTGCACCGGTCTGGTTGTCCCTAGCAAAGAGGGTGACCAGCCCCTGGGCTGATGATTTTGCCTCTTCTCACCTTGTCCCTCCTCGCTGTCCTGATGCTTTTGCCTGAAACTATAGCTCTTCCTCATGTGTTTTATCCCAAATTCCCAGTCCCCATCTCCTGCCTCTTGGTGCCTCCTGGGTTTTTACTCATTTTCCTTCTGCTTTTCTGTGTCCTCTGCCCGCAGTGTCCTCCAGACTTTCCTGGGATCTTGCCCTTCTAGTGAGAGCTTGATGGACTTTAACCATTACTCATCTAGAGCGTGTTAGACTTCACTTATAGCTCATCTCCAGGAGCTGCAGAGCAGGTTATATAAGTGAGGGGCCCCTGCTAGGGCAGAAACTGTGACTTTGGTAGAAACAACTCTTCTGGTTCACTTTAAAATACAGACCTACAAAGTGACCTTTCCATTAGCTGGTGTATCAGCATCAGACTTCAAATGGGCGAAAACAGAAACCGCATTCTGGGGCAAAACAGAAACCTCTGCAAGGGCAGATCACAGTGAGTAACAGTCAGGCCAAGGTCTCTGCACAAGGCAGAGACAACAAGAGGTTGGCCAATAAACAGGTATCTTGGACCAAAGCAGCTCCAGTCGGGTGGCCGGCCGCCAAGGACACGCATGTGCACGTGCCGTAGTCCCTCCAGGTGCTCATCCCGCTCCAGCTGGAGCAGGGAGCTCCTGAAGGGCAGAGAGGGACGCTGCACGGCAAGGTGGGTAAGGAAAAGGATTTAATAAGGAGATGGGTTAGACTGTCACGATCACGCACGGGGCTCAGGCAAGCCCTTCCCCTGAGCGTCCCGTGTAGGTTTTGCACAGTTCCACCAGCCACCCTCAGGTACCCCGCAATGCTCATGTCAGTCCTGTCCCTGCTTTCTAGGAGCTGCAGAGTTCAGGCTGGCCCTCTTCCAGCTGGTAGCTCCTGGGAAGCTCCTCAATGGTCCATCAGGAAGCGGCTGAAGGGATTTGGTTTTTGTCACCATTTCCATTATCAAGTAAACTTCATGTTTGTGGATCTGAGTGTTTAATTATGCAGTTTCCTTGTTATTTGTTATTTCCTTTATGCTGAATAGTCTTTGCTCAGGTAACAAAATGAAGCAAATGCCCCTTCCTCATTCCCTCGTGATCAGAACCTTAAGTGTCAGTCATATTACATCATTGGCTGGATATTTATTTATTTATTTATTTATTTATTTATTTATTTTAACAAAGAAATCCCAGCCTTACTTGAAAGCATGCCTTGCCAACAAGAAAAATAACTGCAGCAAAAGCAGATTAACCCAGAAAAACCTCTTTGTGCTACAAGTACTCCTGTCCTTCCTCCATGAGGACAGCAAGGACATCCTACCAGTGGCTCAGCTCAACAATAAAACAAAAAAGTAGTGAGGGTTTTCTTTCTAATTATTAATGATTTGCACATTTCTAGTCAAGGTTTGATAGGTTTTCAACCTAGAGAAGAAGCTAAGGTCTGACAGTGTTTGGGATGGATAAGATCTTTAAAGGACAGCCAACTAATAACCTTGAACTTCAAAGGTACTCTGGTTAATCAGAATTGGCTAGTAGATAACAGAGGTATTATGTTCAAGCCCAGGCCCTCACTATGTGATAATACAAAGTCAATATTTACAGTGTCCACAGCTCTTTCTTATCTTGTCGAAATGTGTCTGTAGGAACACCATATACCTCTGCTACTCTTTACAGAGAACATGTTTTTATTTTTTCTCTCTTTCTCACTGGTTGTTCCTGATTTAACATCTGTTACTTTGATGGTCAAATTGATCTTGAAACGAGGAGCTCTGCCTCTCCAGAGCCATCATTTGATTTCAAAGTAAGTGCAACCATCTGGTTATTGACATCCAAGGTAGAACCAATCTCATGGAGGAAGGCACTGACTTTTTGGTGGCTCCAGGTGAGCTGGGTATCTGAGCTCTTCCCAGAGTCAACAGAGAGCAGTGAGATCCCTAGAGCTCTTGAGCTCACCCAGAAGTGGACACCTATGTTTAGTCATCTGATTTGCTTCCTCATCTCCACTGATGGCATTCACTAGATCCATGGTGTAATGGAAGCTTGCACCTAGATTACTAGGAGACACCGTAGCCTGAAAGCTTAAACCCCCTGCTGAAATCCTGGGATAGCAGATAACTGTTCCTGCTGTGAATCACTTCGTATCTTTTGCATGGTGGTGTCTAATGAATGTTCCATGCAGCGCTGCAAGGCTGAGCACCTGATCATACTGGCCAAGCTGTGTCTCCACCAGACTTCATGGCTTGATGGTGATGGCTTGATTTAGCTCCCCTCAGACATGCAATAACCCACTCAAAAGATCAGAGAGTGGAACAGCTCATCCTGATGGAGAAAACCACAACTGAGTGGATGACTCAGATAGTAGAAGTGCCTAATTCTCCTCAAGATGTCTAATGGTAGACTCAGTTGAGCACATCTACCTGGCAGATGCCAAAAGCCAGGGGAAAACCCCCTAGGTTGGGCTTCTGGCCACCTGTGTCTGGCCTGATGGGTGGCCACTGGGAAGCCCTTTCCTCCTACCTGTACCATGAGCAATGAGGATCGTGAAACTGCTCTCTCTGATCACCCACTTCAGGATCTCTAAGTGAGAATTTTCCCACAGGGTCTCAGGCCTGCAAGTCTGGGTGCACATGATCTGCATAAAAACACATCTTCATTCACTAATTCTTCCCCTTCTACATACTCGGTTCCACGACTAGGAGCAGTAAAATACATCATAGAGGACAAACAAGTTATGCATCTCTTTTGGTGTAATGTAAACACTGATCACGCATTTGTGGTACTCAACATCTCTATCTGAGCAGCGTATCTGCTACAAGAGTGACTTGTTTCTGAAAGCTGGATCTCAAGGAAACCACTTCTTCTCATAATGGCCCTAGGGATCTTCCATAAATACAACCTAAATCTTTTCTTCACAAAAGCATAGAGCAAAGGGTTGAGGCAGCAATGGATTAAGGACAAACTCTCCGTAATCTGCATGGCATAGTCCAACTGCCTGCCCGTTTCACAGTTTCTGATCACACCGACGTCTTGCAGGGAGTGAAGGATGAGGACAATGTTGTAAGGGGACCACAGAAGAAAGAAAACACCCACTAGAATAAAGACTAAGCCGAGTGCTCTTCTTGATCCAGGGATGGGTGAAGTGGTGAGGACGCACACTATACGGGAATAGCAGAACAACATGAAGAGGAATGGAATAAGGAAGCCGAGGATGTTTTGGATGGCCTGAAAAATGACTTTCCAAAATAGGTGTTTCTGACCATAATCATGAGTGCACATGACAGTTGTGTTGTGGATGCGCTTGACGTCAGTGAAGATGCCATCAGGAACAGAGAGAAGTATGGAAATAATCCAAACCATTGACAAAATAAGGACGGACTTCCTCTGTGTCATTGAGTTATTAGGAGAGCAAGCATGGACTATCCGCAGATACATGTCCAGACTCATGCAGCTCACAAAAAAGACACCACTGTAGAAATTCACAGTGTACATGGTGTTTAAGAGTGGGCACAACGAGGTCATCCACTGAGAAATATGTAGGGCCCAAAGAGGAAGGGTTAGTAGGAGAAGGAAGTCTGAAACCACCAGGTTCAGCAGGTAGACCTCTATCATCTTCTTTTTCTTCCTGATGTACATAATCAGGACGATGAACAGGAGGCCATTCCCAACCAAACCGACCAGGAAAACCACAGTGTAAAATGCTGGCAAGAAAACTCTGACAAAGGATAGTACTTTTTCCTTTGTGCACGGGCTGTACAGCATGTAATCTGCCTCGTCCAAATACTCGTAGGAGTAGTCGCTCGAATTTGCAGGATAATCTCCAGCATCCAGCAAGGTCCCTATGGGTGTTGTTGCCACCTCTGAAGCCACATTTGACAAGTGGCTTCCTGGGAAAGAAAAGCAAAGCAAAAGGGATCAATCACTGAGGCATTCTGAAATCTTTTCCATGTGGGAGAGCAAGCTCCACAAGGCAACTATTCGTTATGGAGACTTTTCCTCTATCTGATATATATCTATATATTTAGCTATAAATCTCTTTGAGTTTCACAGTCAATACACTGCTACCCTCTGAAAGTATCTTGCTGCACTACTTGAACTTCGTCTATGGCCTGGAGATATCTGTCTACAATAAAAAACAAAATAAAATTGCTGCTGGCTCCTGCGAACAGGAGGTTTAGTGTTCAGTAGCCCTGAAGAAATAGATTTCCCTTAACTAAGCTCAAGTAGCCTGAGACCTTGTGACAAAGTCTCCTGTTTTAGATGTTCTGCTTGAACAGCACCTGAGACCTGAGCACAGTCCCCTGGCTGAGTGTTGAAATCAGCAGACCACAGTGGTAAGTGGTACATAGGATATTCTCACCAGGTTCAGATGCACAGAGAGTTGGTGTGGAGACAAGAAATTATTGTACAATAATATAGCTCGCAGTGGATGCAAGCTACCTTTATCAGAAAACCCAAACTCATGGGTAGGCTGGAGATTTTTAGTCCTTGGCTGTATCTGCAAAGCATTTTGTTTTGTTTTGTTTTGTTTTATGAATTTACCTCTATCGCAAATGGTTCTGGTATCCAAGGAAGCAACCGCAAAATCGTCAACATTCTGAATTCCGCAAATTAAAATTGAAAGTAAAACTTTTATCACCTCAGCAACTTACCCCTACATTTCTTCATCAAGGCACTACTTCCTGTTTTATAACATAGCAAGCTTTGGAGAAATTTTCTGCCCTGATTTAGAAGAAATCCACCACCACGCCCTGCCCAGAGCTGTTTCAGATTTACCACAACCATGCCTGTGTGAAGAACTTGTCACCAACATTTTAACATCTGGATCTCTGCTCCGGAGGCAAAATGCTACGTAACTGTGGAAATACCTGCTGATTCCCCACGGCTGAGCCAGCTTAAATGTTTGTCCCACGCAATCCCATACAGCTGAAAAGAAGGAAAAATTGAGTCAAAACTAAGTATTTTCTTGCTTTCTCACAGTCACTCGGAGAGCACAGTGAGGTCTTTCAGTCAGAGCAGCTGTGCACAGATCTGTAATTTTGAGCAGTCAGGAACACTTTTCTGGCAATGAGTTTTCTTCCTTTTTTTTCCTGTTTTACACTCTGAAGAAAACCCAGCGTTAGTCAAGCCCACACTTTAGTGAGCAAACGTGCGACCAAAGCAGCCTGTGGCTAAATCCAGAGGGTCTCCGAAACACCCTCCCCAGACGCCCGTGAGGACAGGACAACCCCAAACCTGCTGCGATGTCCCCGAGTGCCCACGTTGGCTGGCACCCCGTGTCAGTGCCACATGCACACGAGTTCAGAGATTCACCCGCAGCCCGATGCAGCGCTGCCACCTACAAAACTGGCGAGCTTTCCAGAGGAGAGGGAAACCACCCCCCGCGAGGGTTTTTCTGCAAGATTTACAAAGAAAACGCACTTACGGCAGCTTCTTCCCCGACGCTGCCTCTTCCCATCCTCTCAGATGACCGATGGGATGTCAAATGGCTGAATCAGGGTTCTAGAAACAACTTTCACTTGTGTAAGAGGATGGGCTGGGAATTAACTTGTTTTGCTCTCCCTTGCAGTGGTTTTGCTTTTCTGGCTTCAGAGCACTAAAACTGCCTCCATCCTTCCCCTCCCTTGCCTGTCTATAACCATTTCCTCCTGTCCGCCTTCCTGAAGGCCATTGGTGGCCTTGAGGGTTATAGGTCCCCTATCAATGCAATGTGATCTCAGGTCACACACCACTCCAGGGCAGGACACAGTGTTTCCTGTGGCCTCTTCTGCTGCCTTTGTCCACAATTCACTGAAAAAGCCCTTCATGAGGCATTTGATTTTTTCGTTCATCACTAAAGAGGATTAGTTGGCATCCAGGCTCAGGCAAGATCTGGGAGCCTATGTGGCTGTTTGCAAGCGTCAAGTCTAAGGATGCTTGGGGGCTTCAGCTCCCTTGTTGGAAACTCCACAGCTCCCTGTGAGATGGGATGGGTCTTCTCAGCTCCATGCGGGAGTAAGGGACACACACAGAATCAATCACAGAATCACAGAATGGGTGAGGTTGGAAGGGACCTCTAGAGATCATCTAGTCCAACACCCCTTCTCAGGCACTAGAGCTCAGGGCACAGGGCGGTATCCAGGCAGGTTTTGAAGACCTCCAGAGAAGGAGACTCCACAACCTCCCTGGGCAGCCTGTTCCAGGGCTCTGTCACCCTCACAGTAAAGAAGTTCTTCCTCATATGGAGATGGAACTTCCCGTGTTTCAATTTACACTCATTTCCCCTTGTCCTGTCACTGGCCACCAATGAGAAGAGCTCGGCCTCTTCCTCCCTACATTCACCCTTGAGGCATTTATAAATATTGATTAGATCTCCTCTCCACCTTCTCTAGGCTAAACAGGCCCAACTCACTCAGTCTCTCCTCACATGAGAGAGGCTCCAGTCCCTTAATCATATTTGTCGCTCTCTGCTGGACCCTCTCCAGAAGCTCCACGTCCCTCTTGTCCTGGGGAGCCCGTAACTGCACACAGTACTCCAGGTGCGGCCTCACCAGAGCTGAGGAGAGGGGCAGGATCCCCTCCCTTGACCTGCTGGCAACACTCCTCCTGATGCAGCCCAGGATCCCATTGGCCTTCTTGGCCATGAGGGCACACTGCTGACTCATGGTTAACTTGGTTTCCACCAGGACTCCCAGGTTCCTCTCTGCGGAGCTGCTCTCCCTCACTTCTACGTTGCGAGGTGCTCAGGGAAGAGATCCTGGTTCTCTCTGTCCACATGGGGGAGGACACACGGAATGGGGATGCAAAGTACTGATGGAAACACATTTCTTGCTGCTCAGACCCATCAGACTTTCTATGGTGGCTTTTCCTGTGGGTCTGTGACTCCATTTCTCAGCATGGCCCTTCAGATGGTGCAGAAATTTGCAGTATTTCCAGGAAATCAGAATAACCAACATGTCAGTTGGAAGTTGCACATTCTTCACAAGCCCCGTGAAAGTTCTCAGGGACTGTCTGGGAGGGTTGTTTCACGCGGTAACTGTGCCACAGGTACCTACACTCCTGGAAACACCCTCTGGGATAAAAGTTTGGGGCTTTACAGCCAGTTACTGAAGTGGGATCTACCCTTTCTCCCACGGCTAACCCCCTTGATGGGGGTCAGCACTTGTGGCTTGCACCCCTGTGCCCCAGGGGAACCAAAACAGGGAAAACTGAACTCAAAAATGAACTAAAATGGCAACACCAGGAAGCCAAAGTCACCACCTGCTCTCCTGCCCCTATTCTGGCTAATTTGGAGAATTTTCCCCAAGTTTGAGGAATCAAAGAGGGGCCGGGGCAGAGGTAGCAGGAGCCAGGAGGGTTATCCAGGCCTGGGGAGGTGACACTCAGGACGTGGAAGTGCCGAGGGATGCAGCTGGTGTCCGGAGCTGGAAGCACAACAGGACGCAGCAGTCACAGCTTTATTTATGCTTTTGGGGAGGAGCACGTAGGTTCTGCATGACAATACCCCTGTTGTCTTTTCCTTGGATATTGCTTAAACCCCACCAAGTCACGTCTGCAAATGAGAAACCTCCTGCTCACGCTGGGCCTGGGCTGAGTTTCTTCTCCTCCACTCGTGCTTTTACATTCAGCCTGTATTAAATGGAAAGAGCCTCTGGCTTTTTACTTCTTGGCATGAGAAAGGAGCAACCGCTGTTAAAAACTGCTCCTTGATGCCCTCCACAAAGCAACGCTGAAGGAGTCCAGCTGCGTCCAGAGCTGCTCCGGCGCCAGCAGCCACCCCTGCAGCTGCTGCAGACTTCAAACTTTGGCTTCTTTGCTTGTTGATGTAAGCGCTGCTGGCATTTTCCCAATGCAGAAAAAAAAAGGAGTGTGACAAAACTCAAGGCGACACCTCGTGGCAGGTGGTTTAATTTTACCATTTGGGCTGATTTTGCTCCTCATGATGCGCAATGCACAGGACAAGGGACAGCAGCTGCTGCCTCTGCTGGCATCGTGTCTGCAGAGAGGCCAAAAGCAGCTTTTTAATTCCCAGCAGCAGATTTACACGTTGCTCATCTCCTCATCCACATTTGATGAATCTTGTTCCCATGTGAAGCCCTTTGCTGAGCCAAGGAGCAAGGGGAGAGATGTCTTAGGGGGAGAATAAGCAGATGCAGAGAGAGGACTCCAGTGTGTGCTGGAGAAAAATGGTGGAGGACAGGAAAGTTTGCATTAATCGGGATGTTTCCATACAGGAAGAACAAATCAAAACGGAACCGAGCACGTTGTCCAGGTCAATTCCTGGTTTTGAGGAAAAAAAGGACACATTGCGAGATGCTGAGATGCAGCTCTGAGGTTAAGCAGGAGCGATCTCAGCAATGGGACCCACAAGATGCTCAGAGTCAAATGCACAAGTGTCCCTGCTCCAAAACTGAAAATGGGTGAGGCGGAAGTGAGGGAAGGATGTGGGAAAGCCTGAAAAGCCGCCTAAAGGACGTGATCACAGAATCACAGAAAGGTTGAGGTTGGAAGGGACCTCTAGAGATTATCTAGTCCAAACCCCTGCTCCAACAGGGACACCAGAGCACGGGGCACAGGGTGGCATCCAGGCGGGCTGGGAATATCTCCAGAGAAGGAGACTCCACAACCTCCCTGGGCAGCCCGTTCCAGGGCTCTGTGACCCTCACAGTGAACAAGTTCTTCCTCACATGGAGATGGAACTTCCTGTGTTTCAACTTGTACCCATTGTCCCTTGTCTTATCACTGGCCACCACTGAGCATCCGTGATGCTGTGGAGGCCACCAAAGGAGGACCTTCAAGCTCACCCCCTGCACCTGCTTCTCCTCCTCCTCAAAGGGACCGGCCCACAGTCCATTTGAGCCAGCTAATGTCACGGTAACTAAATTCAGGCAGGTCTGGTTAAGGATGGCTCATCTCAGGGC